TAGCCCTGGAGCTACGGGCTAGAGTTCACTCTCAACACTGTGACCACCATGGATTCCTGGTGATCTCCAGCCCCATAAACACACTGCCCCCACACACACATCATACACATTCACACACAGCCCCCCACACACATCATACACATTAACACACTGCCCCCCATACATACACACTGGCCCCACACACACCATACACATTTACACACATTGCCTCACACACACTGCCCACCCATACACACACAGACCCTCATACACAGACCCCCATACTAACATTGCCACACACATACACAGCCCCCTCATACACACATTGCCCCACACACCCTACACATTCACACACTACAGCCCCCCCCCACACACTGAACCTTTCACACACACTGCACCCCTCACACATTGCACCACTGCTCCTATACCCTACTACAGCCCCATATCCCAGCAGACCCCAGGTAAGTTGTCAAACTGTTCTTAAACAGTTTCACTACTTACTCTGGGAGGGGGTCCCGGCCCTCCTGGACCATAACCACTACACAGAGCAGTAGTGGTTATTGTGCATGGATTTTTTTCTTTAAATAATCTACAAGTGCCCCAGTAGCCAGCAAGCCAGCCAACCCACAGGCCAGCCAGCCAGCCCACACGCTGGCCAGTAGCCAGCCAGCCCACAGTCCACCAGTTAGCCAGCCCACCGTCCACCAGTTAGCCAGCCCACCGACCAGCCATTCAGCCCACTGGCCAGCCAGTCAGCCCCCTGGCCAGCCAGTCAGCCCACAGGCCAGCAGCCAACCCACAGGCCTACAGCAAGCCACAGGCTTACAACCAGCAAGCCCACAGCCTGCCATTCATAGCCAGCAAGCCACAGCCTGCTAGCCGCAGCCAGCAAGCCCACAGGCTGCCAGCCAGCAACAGTAATTAAGGTAAGAGGAGCCAACATGGCCTAGGTATCAGCGAGCTATGTTGTGTTGCTATATTGTGAATAGGAACCAGAGTGTTGGAGAGACCCACCTCCAGGCCCCATTAGACTTCATTGTAATCTCTACTGGGGCCTGGAGGTGACTGTTTCCAGCAGAGGCTATCTAATGGAAGCTAAGATGGCCTCTGTTAGAAAGACCACCTTCCAAGCCTATTAGACTCCATTGTAGTCTCTACTGGGGCCTGGAGGGGATTCTTTCTAACACTCTCTCTAAAGGACACTGAGATAGCCTCTGCTAGAAAGACCCCCCTCCATGGCCCATTAGCCCTCAATTGTAGTCTCTACTGGGGCCTTGAAGGGATTATTGCACTTTTGTTCCTTGTGTCTAAAGATTGTGTAGGGTGTGGCTGGAGGCGGGGCATGGAGGCGGGAAAAGGGTGGCACTTGCTGCGGAGCATGGGTGGTCCTGTAAGGGGGCCCTTGATTTATTTTGCCCGGGGGCCCTGAGGGTTCTCAGTCCGCCCCTGCATGTCTATCATTATTACAGCAACAATGTTATGGCAAACCATCCATAAGAGTGCCTTGTTATTATAGAACACTGCATAGTACAAGAGAGCACTATAGGCAACCATCAATGTATCTATCACTCTACCTTTGAACTCTAAGCACACAGAGAGAGCTACAATGCAGTATATGAATAGTAGAACAACATGCATCATTATAAAAGATGACGTAATGATGCCAAATTTATAAGAATGCAGCTGCTTTTTATAATTGCTTAGCATTTTGAATGGTTGTGATGGTTCTATTTATATTGTGAGTCCTGTCACCAGTGTCATTTCTCTCCTATCCTGTTGTGCCTTACATGGCTCCATTGATGCATTGACTAAGGGTACGTGAATATGATGACTTGATCGTACTTGATTCTTATTCATTACTAGAACTTGTAGACATACACGCAGACATTTTGGATACAAGCTTGCCTTTTGTTATACTAATACTACTAACACAGAGATGGCCATGCATGTACATTATATGTCTCAAATTCTTTGTTATGAGTCTCACTAAGGGCAAACTGAGGAGACTGTGCCAGCACTGGATTACAAAGTTTATTTCCTTTAAAAAAAAAAATGTTTTTGTGAAAAACAAAAGTAAAAAAGGAGGGGTGGGCGCTGCTTTGACTCTAAACTTAGTAAGGAACATATCTAAAAATAGTATATTTATTATTAATGTTGGAGTATTCCTTTACTCTTCTTATAAGGAAGAAGGAACAGATGTAGTCTCAAGAAGTCTCAAGATCTTTTCGATCTTTTGGGACTATTTCTGCAACTGCCTATCGAACTGTCACCACAGCTTTTATTTAGTTATCTAGAATTACAAAAATCTACATTTTATTGATTTGATAAAAAAAACTGCAGGAGTTAAATGAATCGGAAAAAAATCTGTGGATTTATATATAGAAATATATTTTTTTGTTTGCATTTGTACTAACATTTTCGGTAGTATTTATTAAGTGATTTTTATGGGGCATAAAACTATGTTTCAGAAACAACAGGATGGGCGTCTATTCAATCATCATTAATTTAGTTTCCTTCCTTTTAACTTAGAGCACATAAAAACATTGAATGGAATAAAATAGTATGTGATATTGATTACTTCTAAAAACATTTATACCTAGGGGAGCATTTTTCGAATCACATGACATATTGCATTGTGTAGGTTAAACAAACAACTCAATGACACACTGGAATTAATGTAATTGAAAAAAACTCATTAAAATGAGTGATGCTTTTTATTTTAGTAAAAATAAATTTTGAATATAAAATCACAATTAACAACATACATACAAATATAACGCTCCTGACTTTCAACTAGTCATACGCTTTTCAGTTAACTGATTTTTTTTTTAGTCTATTTCTTTATTTTGTTACAAAATATTTGTGTCAATGTTTCTTGAAGCAGGTGACTAAATGATTTTTAAATAAATTTTAAGTTTAAATTATTAATTTTAATAATGACACAATGAATAGTTCTAAATTGGTATGGTACCAAGAATAATTATATATTGATATGGTACCAATGCATGCATAAGGATATGATTATCTAAGTTTGTACTTTAACATAACAGAAAAAACCCAAAGAAATAGAAAATGAAACATCAATTTGAATTTGTGTTTTAGAATACATTTGTTCATAACGAGAAGTTTATATAATGTATTAATTGTATTTTGAATTGTATGCTCGTTCTTATTACGGTATCAAAAATATATATATATATATATATATATATATATATATATATATATATATATATATATATATATATATATTTGTATTTTTTATTTGTTTGTAAAGAACATTCTTCAGCATTGCTTAATAATTGAAGTTTAATGAGAAAGGATTGTAATTCTAAAGTCTATGAGAAGCTCAGAATAGTATTAGATCACAAACATTTTTATAAACCTTTTAACAAAACACACAAAGAATAAAGTCCCAATCATATTTCTGCTTTTCATAGTTTCTTGTATGCCTTGTGAAGTCACACACAATTTTAAGAAATAAAGAGGATTTAATTATTTTCTCCTTCAATATTTGATCAGTTAATTTTATATGTAATTAAATTTTTCTGGTAATTCACCATGTTATTTTTATTTAGTTATTATTACAATACATTTTAATTTTGCTGTATATTTTGTCAGTTCAGAAATTGTATTAAAGTATACAGAACTTGAATATCAATTATCAACATACTGATATATTTGTTATGATGTAATCAATATTGAAGAAATGTTGGAAATGTGCATAAATATGGGAATTATACATGTTTAAAACATTTTTTATACAATACAATTTGTACTGATATATGAAGTTTCCTTAAAACATTCCTTGATTTAATGTTCTTGAAGAAAGAGACGAGCTATTCAATTTTGTAAGTAAGTAGCAGCTATTCAAAATGATTTCTCTCTACAAATCGTAAACATAGAATGTTTATTGTTTATTTATAACATAGGTAGCTATTCGGTACTAAGGGATTTGTCTAAATAGGTATAAGATTTTATTATTCATGGTAATCATATCCACTAGATACTAGATACTAAAGTAGAATGTACAAGTAATATATTACTATAACTAATATATTGTTATAACTGTTTAATAAATATACTTAGTAAAAGGACCACCATAGGCACCCAGATCACTTCAGCTTAATGAAGTGGTCTGGGTGCCAGGTCCCTCTAGTTTTAACCCTGCAGCTGAAAACATAGCAGTTTCACAGAAACTGCTATGTTTACACTGAGGGTTAATCCAGCCTCTAGTGGCTGCCTCACTGACAGCCACTAGAGGTGCTTCCATGATTCTCACTATGAATCTTCGGATCTGACGTCGGCAGGGGGTGGAGAGTTCCCCAGCACAGAGGGAGCCCGGTGCTGGAGAAAGGTAAGTGGCTGAAGGGGTTTAACCCCTTCAGCCCGATGGGAGGAGGCCCTGAGGGTGGGGCGGACCTAATGACCCTATAGTGCCAGGAAAACAAGTTTGTTTTCCTGGCACTATAGTGCTCCTTTAAGTAAAATTGTAATCTGTTAAAGTTACTTACGGTTTTAATAATAAATGTTAAACCTTCCGTTTAGTTCTAGATTGAGCAGTGGGAGATTCTCAAACAAACTAATGCAGTGGTTTGCTATGCAAGATATTTGATGCTGATAACACTCATCCCCTGCCTAGTTAGTTTAGCCATAAGTTATTTAAGACAAAAATAACTGATCTAAAATTTTTTGAGAGTTTCCACTTTTCCCACTTTGCAATTCTCATGTCAATTTTCTTAAACTTTTTATCTGAGCGTATAAACTAATTTTTTTTTTTAAGAGAGCTGTTTCAATGCTGTGCTTGCATAAACACTTAAAAATGAGGTTGTCTGGAATATATAAATATCTTAAAACCTGGATGATTGTTTTATGAATCAATATACAATATATATTTCTCCATTTATGCTATTTTCATCAATACAAACTATATTTTTGATGACCATGAACTTTAAGTATATCTTTATTCTTTATTTGTTTCACACCATTTGATTTACGTTGTATTTCTTGATCACTTTATGTTACATTTGCCATTTTTTGGAATCCCAAGCCAGAAACCAGCCTGTGAATGTTGGAGGTTCATATCCTTGTTTTACAGTAGTAATTGGGATCCCCTTATCTCTCCCTGCAGGATCACTCTGAATATACTTTTGTGCTGTAAGAGAGGAAGAAAAAAATAATAATAAGGCATGTTGTAGCATACCGCACGACTAAACGTAAATTTTTACTGCTCTTAACATTTAAAGGCCCACTATAGTGTCAGGAAAACAAACTTGTTTTCCTAGAGCTATAGGGTCTTTGGGTCCCCCCACCCTCAGGGTCCCACTCCCACTGGGCTGAAGGGGGAGGAAGGGGTTAAATTCTTATCTTTCTCCAGCGCCGGGCTCCCTCGGCGCTGGGGACTCTCCTCCCTCTTCCGACGTCATCCGCTGAATGCACATGCTGCATGGTTAAAACTAGAGGGACCTGGCACCTAGACCACTTCATTGAACTGAAGTGGTCTGGGTACCTATAGTGGTCCTTTAATCACAAATATGAATGTAAATGTTATGAGATGTTTCTGCTAAGCTTTCACACTGTGGCAAGAAACACGGTATTTTTAGAATAAGCCTGTAAAGCATACTAAAAAAATCATACTAAAAAAATAAATGCTTAAACAAAGTTGCATTCTGATTAGCTGCTTAGTACTTCTTTGAATTTCATGCACTTTAAAATAAATGACTAGTAACCAAGAAATTCACAGATTAGGATAAATACATCACAGATCCAGTTTTCCGTATAGTATAATGTTTCTGAGCTATGTACATGTAAATTAGACACGTTCTATGAATTTCTTGTATGTTCTTGAACTTTCTAAATATTCTCTTTTCTAGACATTGAACTCGAAGCGAAACATTGCATTTTTAAACAAGTCCAACTAACTAGAGTTTTAGTAAGACTTTTTAACACAGACTTAATCAACAGTAGTTTATTTACTAAAGGGAATTGCATAGAACTGACAAATTAACAATGAAATTGCAAATTTTAATCCAAAGTGGTCCAACTGGAATCATACTCCATCTTATCATACTCCATCTAAGTTATGTTTGTCAGTTAACATTATCTTAAAACACGGAATTCCCTTGTCAATGATTTGCAATATATTGTTTTATCTAGTAACCATTAACAGAAATTGCACACACCATGCCTTAAAAGATTATTTAAATGCTCACTTACTATGAAGCCTACATTCAATCTTCATCGTATAAGTCACGCTATCCCAATTAGACTGATTGCTCTTGCAATAAATTTAGTTTACTTTTTATAACAGTCTTAATTTTTAACAAGAAAGCATGGTTATAGTTGTAGGTATTTCAAAAGCCAGCTATTAGTGTATATTTGATGACTGAGGTTAGGCGGGTGTACAGACCCTTAGAATGTAAGGTTTTGAAGGTCCTAAAAAGATGCTCTAAAATAGTGGCTAGACCAAGATAACAGAGGAGTCGAGGAAGAGATACACTGTGATCAATTTATTTTCTAATATATTTATTAATGTTATGTGTAATATAGAATAACAGTTAACATAATAAGGACATATATCTTCTTAATCATTATACAGAAGTAAATTTCTATATATCTTTCATTACAGAAATATAATTTGAGACCAAGAAATTAGTGTAATGTGCTAATGTGTACAAAGGCATCATATATTTGTGTAGAGTAATGGTTATCAGAAAATCAAAGCCTATAACATAAAATCATGTAGACTTCATTGATAAATATTTTTTTTTAGTTTAAGGAACACAGAACTTTATGTTACTGTGCAATGTTAAAGGGACACTGTAGGCACCCAGATCACTGAATCATTGAATAATGCTTTCCTATAGGGAAATCCTAATGCGAACCAGGTAAGTGGTTAAAGGGGTTTCAACCCCTTCAGCCCTGTGGGAGAGGGGGGTTGTGAGGGAGGGGGGCTTCTTAGACTCTTTAGTGCCAGAAAAAAACTTCGTTGTTTTCCTGTCACCGTAGGATCCATTTAAGTTTAACGTCTTTTCAAATGTAGTCTGTGAATCTGAAAGAAGAAAACTTAACACTACTTTAACATTTAAATTAAAATTAATTTCCACAAATAGAAATCATGTTTTTCTGTCATTGTGTTTACTTAATATGTTGACATACCTATCTTCAAAGCATAATATAGGTTTACTAAGCGGAGCTATAGGGTCTTTGGGTCCCCCCACCCTCAGGGTCCCACTCCCACTGGGCTGAAGGGGGAGGAAGGGGTTAAATTCTTATCTTTCTCCAGCGCCGGGCTCCCTCGGCGCTGGGGACTCTCCTCCCTCTTCCGACGTCATCCGCTGAATGCACATGCTGCATGGTTAAAACTAGAGGGACCTGGCACCTAGACCACTTCATTGAACTGAAGTGGTCTGGGTGCCTATAGTGGTCCTTTAATCACAAATATGAATGTAAATGTTATGAGATGTTTCTGCTAAGCTTTCACACTGTGGCAAGAAACACGGTATTTTTAGAATAAGCCTGTAAAGCATACTAAAAAAATCATAATAAAAAAATAAATGCTTAAACAAAGTTGCATTCTGATTAGCTGCTTAGTACTTCTTTGAATTTCATGCACTTTAAAATAAATGACTGGTAACCAAGAAATTCACAGATTAGGATAAATACATCACAGATCCAGTTTTCCGTATAGTATAATGTTTCTGAGCTATGTACATGTAAATTAGACACGTTCTATGAATTTCTTGTATGTTCTTGAACTTTCTAAATATTCTCTTTTCTAGACATTGAACTCGAAGCGAAACATTGCATTTTTAAACAAGTCCAACTAACTAGAGTTTTAGTAAGACTTTTTAACACAGACTTAATCAACAGTAGTTTATTTACTAAAGGGAATTGCATAGAACTGACAAATTAACAATGAAATTGCAAATTTTAATCCAAAGTGGTCCAACTGGAATCATACTCCATCTTATCATACTCCATCTAAGTTATGTTTGTCAGTTAACATTATCTTAAAACACGGAATTCCCTTGTCAATGATTTGCAATATATTGTTTTATCTAGTAACCATTAACAGAAATTGCACACACCATGCCTTAAAAGATGATTTAAATGCTCACTTACTATGAAGCCTACATTCAATCTTCATCGTATAAGTCACGCTATCCCAATTAGACTGATTGCTCTTGCAATAAATTTAGTTTACTTTTTATAACAGTCTTAATTTTTAACAAGAAAGCATGGTTATAGTTGTAGGTATTTCAAAAGCCAGCTATTAGTGTATATTTGATGACTGAGGTTAGGCGGGTGTACAGACCCTTAGAATGTAAGGTTTTGAAGGTCCTAAAAAGATGCTCTAAAATAGTGGCTAGACCAAGATAACAGAGGAGTCGAGGAAGAGATACACTGTGATCAATTTATTTTCTAATATATTTATTAATGTTATGTGTAATATAGAATAACAGTTAACATAATAAGGACATATATCTTCTTAATCATTATACAGAAGTAAATTTCTATATATCTTTCATTACAGAAATATAATTTGAGACCAAGAAATTAGTGTAATGTGCTAATGTGTACAAAGGCATCATATATTTGTGTAGAGTAATGGTTATCAGAAAATCAAAGCCTATAACATAAAATCATGTAGACTTCATTGATAAATATTTTTTTTTAGTTTAAGGAACACAGAACTTTATGTTACTGTGCAATGTTAAAGGGACACTGTAGGCACCCAGATCACTGAATCATTGAATAATGCTTTCCTATAGGGAAATCCTAATGCGAACCAGGTAAGTGGTTAAAGGGGTTTCAACCCCTTCAGCCCTGTGGGAGAGGGGGGTTGTGAGGGAGGGGGGCTTCTTAGAATCTTTAGTGCCAGAAAAAAACTTCGTTGTTTTCCTGTCACCGTAGGATCCATTTAAGTTTAACGTCTTTTCAAATGTAGTCTGTGAATCTGAAAGAAGAAAACTTAACACTACTTTAACATTTAAATTAAAATTAATTTCCACAAATAGAAATCATGTTTTTCTGTCATTGTGTTTACTTAATATGTTGACATACCTATCTTCAAAGCATAATATAGGTTTACTAAGCTTTATTCATATGGTAATCAAATTCATTGCAACATTTTAGATAATTTTCGTTTGACACACAATACAACCCTTCATCATGACAAAACATTATGGGAAGCACAAAACAATATCTAATCCTATATATCCCAGCCAACGCCAACTCTCTAATAAGTAGGGGTAAAATGCAGTTAAATCATGTCTATGCAACATATAGCAGATGTAAAAATAGTACAACGATTATAAGAAATCAGCATTACCTGCTATCAACGATTCCCTTTTCTCACGTTCATTTGAATCTTTTCCAATCCATAAAAATATCTGTAAGAAAGAATAAAAATTGAAGGCATTTTTTTTCCGGTTAGTATATTGATACTATGAGTCATACTCCTGTATTATTTTCTTGTTGGTAATTTAAGGGACATATATTGGTGGATATATATAAATTTTTTATAGTTTTTTTTTGCAAAATTTCTAAACCAACACTCAAGTGACTAAGTATGAGTGGTACAAAATCCTTTTATAGTGGTATTATTACCAAATTAAAAGTACTGACAATTTCCTTTAGTCAAAAGTTAGCACATTCCTAATTACACAGTGAAAAAAACCATAATTATCGTAATGTGAAGTTTTTGTGTTGAAGTTCCAAGATTGAATCATCTTACATTCAGGTACAATAATAGTTTACTCAAATAAAATAATTCAATTATTTTCAATTTTATTAATGTGTTAAGATGTCATCTTGACAATCATTAGATGTGATTAAAAACTGTATAATAAATGTAGCACCAGAAAGGAGTAGGTTATTCTGCTTCATTCAAATGTTAGATATAACTTACCCTACCTGATATGTGTCTCAATCTCTCAATTGTTTTCCCTGAAATCCATGCCAGAAATAATGTTGTGTTTGCAAAGAGGGTCCATCGTCTGTGTATATTATAAATACCTGTTCCCACGCATCCAGCATCATCACATCATCTTCTGCTAGGTCGTCTTGGGTAAATTCTCCAGGTACCTCTTCAATCTAGCCATACAGATATTTTTATATTAGTTTTGTAAATTCCACCTTCATAATAATTAAATACATTTGCAAAGGGTAATACACCTCCAAATTTAGACATCAAATAAGTTGTCTGCTATTCCTTTGAAAAAATGTGATCCAACTCCTTAAAGGGACTCTATAGGCACCCAGCTTAGCTCATATTGACACAGGGGGAAGCTATAGTGCCAGGAAAACAAGTCTGTTTTCCTGGCACTATAGTTTCCCTTTAAGGACTAAGGAAAATGTACAACTTCATAACCAAAACAATATCCAATATTTGAACTATGTATTTCTTCATTAATAAATGTTCTCTGTTAAGTGCATCAACATATATTACCAAGAACAGATTGTGTGTTTTTTTTTTTAAACCCTATATGAAAACATAACACAATCTGGTTTAACAAAATAATAGAAATGCAAAAAACACATTTTCAGAGTTTTGGTTATAATAATTTTTACATTACAAATGTATCAAAGGAAGAATAACTCAAAATAGATTCACCAATGCCTTATTTACCTAAGATTTCCATTTTTCTTTTGGCAGTTACAGGACAAGCTAATGAGTATATTTTTGTTTGAAAAAAAAAATATTTGCCAAATTTGGTATGTTGAGAGTACAAGTTTACCAGCAGTCACAAAATACAAAACTGCTAAACAAAAGTATATATTTGTAGAAAGCAGACAACCCAGAGTATTTAACTAGGAGCATTTTGACACTTATCATTTAACCAACTACCACCAAACCTGCTTAGTTATATTGTATATTTTTTCTGTCAAACAGAATCTGTTTACCAGGGTTTCTTTTTTTTGGTTGCCGCATGTATTATTTAGTCATACAGTAGGTAATTGTATAGTTACACTTCACTTATTCATTCTTTGGTGTTATATTTTTTCTGTATTTCACACACATTTTAATTTCATGGGAAATTTCACAGATTTCACACAAATTTCATGTGTTTGAGAGACTTGTAAGGTCAAATTAAAGACATGTCTTCATTTAGACATGCCACTTTGCTAACATCCCAGAGATGATTTATTGAAGTGACCATACTGACCAATGTCAATCTTTAATGCATTTTCTAACCATAGCTAATCCTAACCCCTATATGATACTATTCCTAGCTAACCTTAACCCTTATCTTAACCAACCCTAACACTAAACCTATCCACAATCTTAAAGGGACACTATAGTCACCAGAACAACTACAGCTTATTGTATTTGTTCTGTTGAGTAGAGAAAATACAGTGATAACACTGGCCACTTCTTAGATGGCTGTTAAAGCTACTTCCTTTGGCAGTGCTGCAGAGTAAGCAGCACTGTCATTCAGTGTCTCCACCCTCTGCATGCAGATTCTGAACTTTCCTCATAGAGGTACATTGATTCAATTTATCTCTTTGAGTAGATGCTGATTGGCCAGGGCTGTGTTTGACTTGTGCTGACTCTGCCCCTGATCTGCCTCCTTGACAGTCTCAGCCAATCCCATTGGGAAGCATTCTGATTGACTCATGCCACCACTTATGATGATGTCAGCAGACAGAGGCAGTTCAGGGGCAGAGGTAGCAGCTTTAGACTTGAATACAAGTAAGATTTTACTATATTTAGGGAGGCAAGGGGAAATCAGGAGGGTGGTGTTTTTTTGAAAACTATAGGGTCAGGAATAAATGTTTGTGTTCCTGACCCTACAGTGTTCCTTTAATCCGTTCTTTTGATGTTTAGATTATTTTTTTTTATTTAAACTTCACCAGGATTTACGATGTCTTAAAGTCTGACTGTGCAACCAGAAACTGCTCTGTGTTTACAGATAAATTGGCACACCCATTTTGTGTACCATACCTGTGGATAAAACACTAATTTAGAAGGGGAGTTCATAGATACAGGGGCGTATTAGCCGCGAGGCAAAGAAGGCATTTGCCTTGGGCGGCATTTTTCAGGGGGCTGCAAAAACGCCGCCCCCCAAATGCCCAGGGCAAATGCCTTGTTTGCCTCGCGGCTAACAGACATGCCAGGCGGCTGGCGAGGGAGCTCTTCCTCTGAGCAGTCTGCTCAGCTCCCTTGCACGCCGCAGAGTGAGGCTGGGAGCTGGAATATGACTTCATCAACCCGGCTCCCAGCCTCACTCTGCGGCACGTGAGGGAGCTGAGCAGACCGCTCAGAGGAAGAGCTCCCTCACCAGCCGCCCGCCCAGCCCAGCCCAGCCCAGCCCAGCCCAGCCCAGCAGCCACTGGACCCCAAGGAGAAAGGGTTAAATAAAAAGAAAAAAAAATTTGATGTGAGTGATTGTGTGTGTGACTGTGTGTGTGTGTGTGTGTGTGACTGTGTGTGTGTGACTGTGTGACTGTGTGTGTGTGACTGTGTGTGACTGTGTGTGTGTGTGTGTCTGACTGTGTGTGTGTCTGACTGTGTGTGTGTGTTTGTGTCTGACTGTGTGTGTGTGTGTGTGTCTGACTGTGTGTGTGTGTGTTTGTGTCTGACTGTGTGTGTGTCTGACAGTGTGTTTGTGTCTGACTGTATGTGTGTGTCTGACTGTGTGTGTGCCTGACTGTGTGTGTGTGTGTGTGTGTGTTGTGTCTGACTGTGTGTGTTTGTGTCTGACTGTGTGTGTGTGTGTGTGTGTGTCTGACTGTGTGTGTGTGTGTTTGTGTCTGACTGTGTGTGTGTGTGCCTGACTGTGTGTGTGTGTGTGACTGTGTGTTTGTGTCTGACTGTGTGTGTGTGTCTGACTGTGTGTGTGTGTCTGACTGTGTGTGTGTTTGTATCTGACTGTGTGTGTGTTTGTCTGTGTGTTTGTGTCTGACTGTGTGTGTGTTTGTGTCTGACTGTGTGTGTGTGTCTGACTGTGTGTGTGTATTTAGAAGGTGGGGCAGGGGGAAAGGGTTGGGTGGGGGTGGCGCAGGGGGAGGGGGGTGCCTGAGCTTTGTCCTGCCTAGGGCAGCACAAAACCAGGATACACCACTGCATAGATATGCAGGTTAACATTATCTGTGTATGCTTATTTGCTTATTATGCTTAAATCCCTCTGGTAGGGATTTTGTGATCATTTGATTTCTGTGCATCAAATAGTAGTAAATCCCATTTTTGATGTGCAAATGCATGCATGTACTCTTGAGTCTCATTGTACACTTGAAAGACTGCACTGAGATAGTGAATGATAAAACCTTTACATTATAATAATAAAAAAAAACATTTAAAATGGTGGTCAATCCAGACATTTTTGTCAAAGTCAGTTTTACTATGGATGATCAAATAGATTGACTGAATACAGTTTGTGTCTTAGAGAAGTGTATATATATAGCCAACCCCCTCTTGTTTTATATATATATATATATATATATATATATACACACACACACATATATATACACATATATATAAAACAGAACTGTCTGTATATGGATTACAATTATTTTCCCTCCATTCGTCTGTTTGTTCGGTTTATTTCCTTGCCTGTACAGTCCCTATGTGTTCCCCTGTTAAACTACAGAAAGCCGAACGAAGGCGCGACCACCGGGAAGCTGGCGTGTGCCTCCAATTGATCTCCCTGCAGCTAGCGTGTGCCGTCAATTGACCACCCAGTAGCTGCGGTTAACCGCAGCTTAATTGACTGTTCCCAGGTGGTTGCGGTTACACCTAGCTGCCACACGATTGCGGTGTTCTGCAGTCTCCGGCACAACCAGCAGTGCTCAGCCTAGACTCAGTGAGCTGAAAGTGGACACTTTCACTCACCAAACACCGCTGAACCTCCAGCCTTCCTTGATTCCAGTTATTCAAACGAACGCTGGCTTTCGGGACTTTATATTATGTGAATGAGGGTACCCAGATAGCATGCCATGAAGCCTGTTCGTGTAATTAAAGACTTTGGCTCCATGGCAATTAAACTGTATTCGTGTGGTCTGAGCACTATTCTGTATTAATGTGCACTTAGACCTGAGCTATCTGGGGATATGTTACATGTGTATAATTGTTGCATTATTGGTCACATCATATATTTTACTGCCTTTTTCTGTATCATTGTCCCCACATGTGTAATGGCGATTTGTCTCTGTCCTGGAAGATAATGGAGTTAGTTGTGGTGCATTGTGGGGATATTTTGTATCTGTATGTCAGGATTTGCTACGTGTCTGTCCCTTGTCACAGTCTCCCAACTGGTCCCCTAGGGGAGTGTCCACCAGGAGGGAGACCTGCATAAATACTGGGCAGGTAGCCCTCAATAAACCAGAATCCCTTTTTACTCTCAATATGGAGCTTGGTCTCGTAATTGGGGGGATTTACTGTACGCGGTTAGAGACTGATTGCTGGGAATGTAAGCCGCTTGGATTCTGTGTCTGCTCGTCTGTTAGCAGCTATTCGTGGGATTACCATTCAGGAGTTTGGAGTGCTACTGGGTATACTGTTCGGGAGTTTGGAGCATTACCCTGGTTCCAGTTCGGGAGTTTGGGGTCGTACAGTAGCTGTGCCTGTACCTCCGCAAAAGGGAAGCTCTACTAAATGGCGGTTTAACCCCTTTATGCTGGGAGAGCCATAACAATATATATAGTGCTCTCATATATATATATATATATATATATATATATATATATATATATATATATATATATGAGAGCACTCAAGTCGTTACTTTGTAACAATAACAGTAATGCTGCTGTTTTAATTCCACATTGCAACACATTGCATGTATGTAAGAATTCTACTTACCACAAACCGTCCTGTTTTATCTGAGCAACCAAACAACCTTGGTGGATGATCTTCAAAGGATGTTTCCAACAAAGGTGAAGTCTGATATTTCTTTTTACCTCCGAGGGTTGACCAGAATATATCTGTGGAAAGTATGCAGTCAAAAATATATGAACATTTAATAATGATTAAATGCCAGCAATATTTATTATAATTAATAAGGACGAAAATGAATAATCTCAAAAGGCAGATTTATAGATAATGAAATAACTAGCAGAAAATGTTCTAATTCTTGTTCTGCTTGCATGCACAAGTGGTAGGATCAGGCTTCACCCTCCCTTATAGGTCTGCATGGTTCTGCAAACAAGCCTAGTGTCCTGAATTACTTATTCTAGAAGAGATATATTGTAAATCAGTTCCACACTAGTGAGTGGAGTCAGAGTTTCGCTTTGATATAGAGATATATAGATCTCGAATTTCCCATGTCCAGGATCTCTGGCTCAAGTTAGTTAGCTCAGGGTGGAGGTATCTAACTAAAGAAACATGGAACTAAAGAAGGCATGAGAGACACATTGGGGGTATAATAGGTGAAGGATGGTTAGGTGCTACAATTGCTACTTGTGGTTATTTGAGAAATATGTGAAGTATAGCAAGTGCTTGTGGAGTACATTTTACACAGGTAATTGTGAACTACATGGTTTGTGGTACATTTCCATGGTGCTCAGCAGGTCCTAGCTATCTGAGTATTATGGAGAATTTAGGATAAAAAAACAGCTCAACCCTAAACACTTTAGAACTAAAACTATGTGGGCTTTATTCCCATGGGTAGCCAATCCTTAGGTTCGCTGAGCGTTACGGGAAATGCGGTTCACAAACAACTGCAGACATATGGTTACATTTTAAAAGCTAAAGAACTAGTGACCATGTTCACCATAAAATCTTACCTTTCTCCAGCGCCGGGCGGGGAGCTCTCCTCCTTCTCGGCTGAATGCGCATGCGTGGCAATAGCTGCGCGCGCATTCAGCCAGTCTCATAGGAAAGCATTCATAATGCTTTCCTATGGACGCTTGCGTCTTCTCACTGTGATTTTCACAGTGAGAAGCACGCAAACGCCTATAGCGGCTGTCAATGAGACAGCCACTAGAGGCTTTAGAGGCTGGATTAACCTATTTATAAACATAGCAGTTTCTCTGAAACTGCTATGTTTATAAAAAAAAAAAGGGTTAACCTTAGCCGGACCAGGCACCCAGACCACTTCATTAAGCTGAAGTGGTCTGGGTGACTATAGTGGTCCTTTAACAGAAAATATAAAAGGAGTGCACATATAAATGGTAAGGGTCTATTTCAGTGATACTCACAGAGCTGCTATAACTCACATACCCATAGCTCATTGAGCCTTGGTCAATTCCAGTATGAAGCCAATAGAAGGGTTCCAGGTAGCCCAAGCCTTTAAAATTAATGACATTCAAAAAAAAACTCCAGTTGCCAAGCCAGTCATCAATGAAAAAGACAGTGAGATAGAATTTTAGAAAACTAATTGTTGAAGGTTACTTTCAACAGTTAGTTGAAATAGTTTTTGGAAGGAGTAGATTTTAAAAATGATTGTTGGAAGCATGTGGGATATAAATATCCTAACAGTTCGTGGAAGAACATATCATGAGACAGAGGCCGCATGGAAGGTGCTCAAGATGATGATGAATCATAGTCTGCAAAATCAGATCCCTCTATCTGTGTGTTCTGAATGTCTTTTTTTATTTTAAGACATAATACTATGGAATAAAAGGCTGCAAGTGTGAATTGACCAAAGTAGCCATAATTGGTAGCATAGCTGACTTGGAGAATTTTGATATTTTGGTTTAAATTTGAAATTGAAAAACCCTGTGTATATTTTATACAGGAGAAAAACAAACCTGGTTCCTGTCCTTCTGCAACTTTTGTGGGCTTGCATTTTAGAACTTTGACTAGGTAATCCGCTCCTTTTATTTCATCTTCATTTGCACCTTTTCCAACCCATATGATGGCAGAATTATTTTGCATTTTCAGAACAAATGCATCATTGGAATTTAGCATCGATGAATCATTTTCAAGCTGAAACAAGTCACCAAATTTGATGTTTTATTTCTGTATAAACATAATATATTGCATATTTTTTGCATATTCAGAAAGAAAAAGTGACACATTGAGCTGGTAGGACATAAACAAACTTTTCTATTTACTAAAGTGATAATTGTTGGGAATTCATATTTTGTTTTAAATTTAAGGCTAAAGTAGCTAGGCTGGAATCACAGCCGACATGGAGAATTTTTTCAGTTTCACCTTTATGGCCTTAAGCTTAAAATTCACTTGGAATTCATGACAATTTTCACTTTAGTCAATAGCTCTGTATATTTTTCATTTGATAAATAAAGCATGATTTTGGGGAAATAATTTTTATTGAGAAGGAATTGGTTAATACATAAAATAAGAATACAGATCACATATAATAATACAGTCTATGAGTAAGTAGAATCAGCAAATATTCAGCTTCCAGCTACTACTTATATATACTGTACTTAATACTTCTAATAAGGCAGAAAAACAAAAATACCAAGTCAATCCTCCCCCCTTCATTTTTAATAATATAAAAGGCAGACACCTTCAAACAAACAGAAGGCCAAAAATAAAAAAAACATCTGTTGAAAAAGAACAAACCATGAGTACAAGCTCACAATAACACCAAGAAAAATGGACATAAGACACAAAACAGACAAGTACAAAAACCATATCTTAAACACAAATACTCAATATCACAAACTCATCACAATGGAAAAAGGTATGGTAGATAGTAAATATAAAAGAAGACACTAATGTCTCGTTTCCACTGAGCGGTACGGTTTGGTACGGTCTGGTAAGCTATTTTGAGTGTTTCCATTATAAAAGTGGCCCATACAGTCGAACCAAGCTGCACCATTCCCAGGCCCCCTACAGTTGTAGCTCTGTAGGAAATGGTACAGTTAGGGCTGATACATTCCATTGATTGGTGGACAGAAAAACGTCACTGCTCACGTCAAAGGCAAGTGCGAAACAAACACTAGGCATTTGGTCTAAACCCCGCAAGCCTCCTGGCAGTCTAACTTGCAGTGGAAACGCTCACCTAAATAGGCTGGGCCATTCTAACACTTCCGAACTGTACCGACCTGAACCGTACCGCTCAGTGGAAACGAGGCATAGTAGAAGAGAGAGAAGAAAGAAAGAAAAAAGGTGGTGGAGTAAAGGAAGGGGTTACATGGATGGAGACCCCCATAATTGAGCACACCTGCCACATAGAGAAATTGCTCCCTATTGAACAATCATGCGCTAAATATAACACAGCTGACCGAACTCAGTACAGCACCCTAATGTCCGGGATTTGAACTTGGGTTTAAAGATCAAAACTTTAGCAAGTTTCCCTCGTAGATCAGAAGAGAGATCCACCATGCTGTACACAAAATGTGTTTTTCTAAATAATACTTTAAAGGTTGTAATAAATACTGTCCATCTTTGAGCAACACAAATATGCACTGCAGTATGCAGTACAAATTCTATGGCATAACCTTAAGACTGGCCACCAAAAGTCAAAAAGCAGATGGAACATCATTTAAAAGGACCAACCTAGGATCAGATAGCTATGGTGAGACCAAGAAGGTGGGAGAGAAAAGGAAAAACAGTATCCCAAAATGTTACAATCTATTTGTATGCCCACCACATATGATATAAAATATCGAACCAGAGCCTCTAAAACAGAGGGGAGAGAGATCTGAATAAATGTGACTGTGTAACTGGTTTAAGATACCACCTAACAATGCGTTTGTAGCCATTTTCTTTAACAGTAGCACACAGTAATAATTTATAACCAGTTTCAAATATAAATTTCAAGAAATCATTATTGATGACAGCACCCAGATCTATGTCCCACAAAGCCAGGAACGTCCCTCAACCACTACCGTTACCCTTTTGAGCGTAACCAGCGTTTAATATATATACCCTGTACTGGAGATCTATATTTGTAAATCTATTCAAACTGAGTTAACGATGACCCATGATAATTAAGCCTCATGTCAGTACCAAAATTCCATTATTGACAATAGGTTGTCATTTTCTTGTGCAGACATATGGAACTTTCCTCCAAAGAGGCCCGAGTAGGAATCCTTTTTCATGAAAATCACCAAATGTTTTTAAGGGAATGGGAGACCCATGAAGAAAATCCATGAAGGTTCTTTTTACATCATTTGCAGAAAACTGGGTTACAAACAAAGGTTTCATAAGGGAATAACAAATTGTTAGAACATCCCTATAACTACACCTACACCACTGGCTGCTTATATCGTATATATAGTAAAGATGACAGCCAAGGAGAACAGATGGAATCCTTGATATCAGTCAATCAAACTGAGTCCCTAAATGAGTTCCACTATAAAGCCTGTGGAGACTGAGCTAACTTGTAGTACAGGGTTAAACTCAGAATCCCCAGACTACCTTCAGACCTTGGGAAAGCGCTTTTGGAGCACAATCTTGCCCTTCTTCCATCCTGAACAAATCTGAGCATATGTCTCTCAAGTCTCAGAAGGTCATCCATAATTATTGGAATCAACAATGCCCTAAACAGATACACTATCTTCAGTTGCAGCATGTTTTTTAGAGAGTATACTCGTCCAACCGGTGAAACATTATAAGATGTCCAGTGACACAAAAGGTCATGTAATTTTGTAATGAGTGGTGAGCAATTGTGGGCATATAAATTATGTTAAAAAAAGGAGTAATTTTTACAAGATAATCCATAAAATGAGATCTCCTTTCAAACTGAAAAATGGTGCAAAGTTCAAGAATTAGTCTCTCCTAATGGACTAGGAGGTTGTCTATTTTTAGGATGTAAAAAGACTAAAGTCCATCAATTTCAACCTTGGCACAGATTCCTACTTGCATCAACAAACTGTACACATACATATCAATTATATTCTTGGTTGATCTTATAACCATAGATTTTTCAGAACTCTGAAATAATACAGTATATACACAAGAGCGATAAAATTGATATATTAGAGAAAGCAGAATACCGTCTCGAACAGGTCAATTCTATATTCTGAGGTGCCGCAGAATATATGGTGTGCTTTTTACTGTTTAACTTCTGGTATAATTATCTTTACTTCCCATTATGTCGAAACTCAAAATTTGGAGAATTTAAATAATGTACTATAGTACTATAATCCAGAAAATTTAGAGGTGATGAATGACTTCATGTTATGGATTTATGAGTATGAATTTACTGTGTTTGGATATTCTCTGGTTCACCATCCCTTTCATTTTTATTCATATTTTTTAATTAATTATTGTACAATAATGTTTTTCATGTGACTTTATAGTTTTTAGTTATTACAGTCCAAGTCATGCAAACATTCTCCAAATGTATTATACTAATATTGCAGTATTATTGCAAGCTTCACAAACCATTAAAAGCAGCACTCCAAAAATAACAACCACTACCGTGCACTGTAGTAATATTGATATCAGGAGTGCCCAGGAGCCCCCCGCCAGTGTATGTAATCAAACTGTATGGTAACAGTATGACTTCCTTCATGGGGTCGCTGATCACTGGCGCTGGTCACTGGTTCTAGTCACTTCGTCTATGGTAAGGCAAAACTCATCTCATGGAGTTACTGTTAGATCTACTGTTTGGAGGGAGGGTGCTTATCGTCATTAAAAAAATTTGATGTGGTTAGATACTACATATTCCAGTACAACATAGTAGAGCAATTTAAATTTCTATTATATTTGCAAAACTTTTAAGGGGATCTATCACAAAATTTGTATTATTATGCACATTTTGTTTTTTTTATTGCTGTGTACATAACATTGAGTTCTAAATGTTTAGGACTTTCAGTTGCTATTTGTGAGCCTTTGCTTATCAACGGACTTTTAACTCATGTTAGTTTGTTAATGACTAATAACAAAACGGCTATTTCATGCAAAGTGTAACGCATTCCATGGTTCCTACGATTAATGTACCATAAAATTATATATACCTTAGTCAATCAATGACTACAGTTACTATTATAGTGTAAGGATACATTTGTCAAATTCCAGTTCAATGCTATGATAGGCAAAATAATATACACGTTTCATATTCTGATAAAATGTAACATGAATACACTACAATTCACTTAAATCTCTGAACATAAAAACATTAAAATGGATCAGTCATCTTTGTAAATTTTTGCAGATCAAAATTCCTTATCAAACTCCGACTATATACTTTTTTAATTCTAGTTTTCAACTGAATATTAAATAATTTATAGTTCTTACAACAGCCTATTTTTCTCATAGCTATGTGGCTTGACTGTCGTATAAACTGCAATCAGGAAGCCGTAAAAAATGTAACAGTGAAACAGTCATCACATGTACATATACATAAAAAAAAAATCAGTTTAAAAAAATAAATGCATAATAAATATTATTTTATATTTATAGTGTATGATATAAGTTCAGTTTTGTGTCTGTTTAGTGTTGATAGAAAATCTGGCTTTGCCAGAGGCTCATAACTTTCCGTGCACAGCAGAATCCTGCCCCATGCATCAGCAGCATGACTGCTGTTTACAGCAAACCAGAGATTCTTCTGGATTTATTTAATCAGAGTTACTGAGAGTTATTTCATTATATTTATCCCCCTATCCCCATCCCATCTTTCCTCCAACCTATACATGGTAAAATGTATATTTAGAGAGGATTAGAACCCAGGACACTTAGATCAAATGTTTGGTTCAGTACAGTTGAGCCATATTATAGATTTGGTTCAGTACAGCTTGAGCTATTATATATATGATCTCAAGGTCCTAGGTTCCAATTACCTCTAAATATACCTTTTAATGTGTATAGCTTGGATAGCTTGGAGGAAAGACGAGACAAGGGGGATATGATAAAAATATTTAAATACATAAAGGAAAAGAATATCTTTAAATGAAGACAAACTACCCCAACAAAAGGACATAGTCTTAGAGGGTCAAAGATTTAAAAATAATATCAGGAAGTATTACTTTACTGAGAGGGTAGTGGATGCATACAATAGCCTTCCAGCTGAAGAGGTAGAGGTTAACACATTGAGGGATTTTAAGCACGTGTGGGATAGGCATAAGGCTATCCTAAATATAAGATAAGGCCAGGGACTAATGAAAGTTATTGTAAAATTGGGCAGACTAGATGGGCCAAATAATTCTTATCTGCTGTCACATTCTATGTTTCTATATCATGTAACAAAACTGATAAAATTCATATCTTGTACTACATTTTTTCATGACAAGCTTTCGGGACAACCTTCCTTTCTCAAGTCTAAAGCATTTCTGAGCAAGACGACACACAGAATTCAAAGTTGAGCTGTGATACAGGGGTTAAACCGACATGAGTGCAGATAAAACACAGGTTTGTTAGAGAATAGATACCATTCTTGCAGAGGGTCGTAAATATCTTTTGTGAAGATCACAGAGTGAGGGGGGAGAGAGAGAAAAAAAACACACAAGCAAACAGTGCAGAAGATGGTGCTAGAAGGGGAGAGTAAAAACAAAATAATGACATATATACTTAATATATATATATATATATATATATTTACTATCTTTTAGATTGCAAGCTTATATGGACAGGGCTTTCTTCACCTACTGTGTGTGTATGTTGTACATATTTTCTTAGAATTAATTATCCATCTTGGTTTACCTATTGTACAGCACTGCGATATATGTTGAGGTTATATAAATCATTGTAATTATAGTTGTAATAGTAAAGATTTGGTTGATTTTATTTTCATACTTGCTGTTAAGTAACGAAGAATAACTATTCTTCCTATATACACACCAGTGGCTTCAATACAAAAAAATGTGCAATTGCTTGTCAAACGTTCCAAATCCACTGGTTCTATTAAAGTGTACTTGTCATGGCTGAATCAAGTTGCTCTTCTGTTAAAGTTTGTTAAAATCCAGATGAATTGCTAGCAAAAATATATCCTTTAAATTTTTGATATCTCTCATTACATTGCTAAGCTTTTGGCACAACAGGAATGAAAGAATGAATTTACAGTTAACACTGCATTGTAAATATAACAATCCACCTTCAGGTAGTCCTTATAATCATCCAAACATTCAATGGAATCATACAACATGGCCAAACATCAGCCTGGAAACCGGGACAACGGGACAAAATTCCTCCTGAGATGTGGGCAAACCTGGTGGCCAACTACAAGAAATGTCTGACCTCTGTGATGGCCAACAAGGGTTTTGCCACCAAGTACTAAGTCGAAGAGGTCAAATACTTATTTCACTCAATGACATGCAAATCAATTTATAACTTTTTTGACATGCGTTTTTCCGAATTTTATTTTTTGTTATTCTGTCTCTCACTGTTAAAATACACCTACCATTAAAATTATAGACTGATATTTTCTTTGTCAGGGGGCAAACGTTCAAAATCAGCAGGGGATCAAATACTTGTTTCCCTCACTGTAAGTAAGAATGTCAGAAATTCAGGGTGAATTCAAAGTGAATTTACATTTTAAGGTCAAAATAGCTGAACTTGAAGCATAGCTGACTTGGATAATTTATCCAGTTTTGCTATATTGGCCTTAATTTTACAATTAACTTATAATTCTTGAGAATAATCTATTTAGTAAGCAACTCTGTAAGTGTATCACGTGTGCTCACAAGATCCCACCCATGTACTTGAGTTTGGACTGTTATTTCTGAAAGGATGTTAATAACTGTTCTCTAAGATAATTATCATTATAGATATATTTTTACCTCAGCTATTCTTGTGATTGAGCCCAAATTCTTTCGAACTTGAAAGAGGCGTACAGGTCGTGGTGGTGTCTGACCTCCCTTCCTTGATGTCCCATCTTTGTATATAATAAGTGGCTTGTCCTTGAAGATACTCAACAGATGTGGAGGTTCCTTTCCCTGGGTCACACGTATCTTGAAAATAAACAATAAAAATAATGTATACTAAGTATATCATTAAAGATATAAAAGAGTAAAATTAAAAATAAAATGTACCACTAATGAATGAGCAATAACAACATGATTTACATGTATTTTCAGTCTCTATGAACTTGATCTATATTTATCCATATCCATATTATCTTCGAACCTGTTTAGGTTTATTGTAAAACTAAACTTCTTGTGTTTTTACGTCAAAATACAGAAAATCTTTTTCAACATTTTCTGAATTTTTTGCAAGATTTTAGAAATTTTTATGTGTTAAACATTTGCCAATAGTTGAAGAGTTGAGCGTTTGATGTCCTTTCATGGGATTTACTGAGGGATGAGAAAGATTTAATTAATCACTATAACAGCTTAACATCTATCATTTCTGTCTGCTCAAATTTTGATTTCTAGTAACAGAATTCAATGGCCGTCAGTAATGTTCTTTTGAAGCTCTGTCAGTACACTGGGGAAATATACCAAGAAGAAACATCTTAGCAAGTATTGTTGGAGGGAAATGCATCCATAATTGGTTATGGATAGAGAAATAAAATCTAACAACACATCAGTTTAGTTTCACTTTCTCATAACATCTTGTACATTTATTTTAGCATTATTACCCAATTAAACATTACTTGAGTCTCTGTTCTCTGCATTTGTTTGCAAAGTACTCTTTGCCTGTGCGTTAATGTAGTATAATGGGATGGCACTAGATGGACTGACGGTTACAGAAAACAAAGAGGTCATAGATACCTATGTCACATCCTAAGTATACAACACAATTTAGAGGTAGAAAATCTCAATATAACAAAAGTTCACATTTGTAAAGGGATGGTGGAATATCTACATATAGTCATATGTTTTCATCATTTTGTCTACTGTCTACCCTTGTGTTACTACTAGAGCACATATAAGTTTTTGGAAAATACAAACATGAGTAACTCCACTCTTCATAGAGCGATCCAGCTGAACTGTGAGAAAGGCAGAATATGTCACTTCATCTTTAGTTGCATGTGACCCTTGCCTGTAGTAACAGAACAGAAGATAAATCAACATTTGGGAAGGGAAAGGAAGGGAAGGGAAGGGAAGGGAAAGGAAAGGTAAGGAAGGGAAAGGAAGAAGGAAAGAAGGAAGAAAGGAAGGAAGGAAGGAAAGAAAGAGAAGGAAGGAAAGAAAGAAAGAAAGAAAGAAAGAAGGAAATTATTATTTACTTCTGGAATCTATCATAATATTAGCAGATCCTTTAAAGGTTAAATTGTGTAAGGTAAATTTATTTTAATTAAAACTATTTTCATAAAGTTTGTGTTTTGTACTTACCACGCATAAATGTACTTTCCTTTTGCACAAGAATACAATATGATGTAACAGTCTCCACCATAAAATTGTCCGTACGTCTCTGGATCCACTGGAACTCTGCCATTACTCTCAACACGCCATATCTAAACAATATATTAAATAAGTCTCAATTAAGAAGTCAATCATAAAATCCTGTATCATTTTCACAATGCAAAAATAAAAATGATTTCCATCAATAAAAAAAGGTCATACTCCCTGCAGACTTATTAATGTGGTAAATTGCATATCCCTTCAGCTATATAAATCATTGTTAATTTACAACCCTCTTAAATGATATGTTAATGGAACACACACTCCAAGTACTAGAACCACTACCACGGTTATTGTGGAAGCCAGGTTACTGTGGAAGTAGTGCCCTTGTGCTTTTTCAGGGTAAGCTGTCATTTGCTTTAGCATGGTTTGACAAATTGCCTGGGTCCCGCCACGTGTCTGTGCCTCACCTGCTGTGTCTTTTTTTCACCTTATAGTGCAATAATTCAAGCCCATGTAGACCCCAGCTTTCCCAATATCCTAAGTATGGGCAACTCCTTTTGCCTTTTTATTTAGGCAAGAAATGTCACGGATGTTTGAATTTTGAATTATGGTAACCATGGAGTGGGCTATAGACAGTTACCGTATCAAGTGTGATTTCTGTCTAGTAATTTGCTGCCACACCCATGTACATGTAGTAGAGTATGACAACAATCCACATAATACAGTGATTTGGCTCTACATTTATCTTAAAGTATTGACACAAGTGTTATAAAAATATAGTAAAATATTATAGTGTAAAATATTACCTGACATTCCCCAGATCCATCGTCTAACATGTTATGTTGAGCAGCCATCTTTGGAGATTCATGTAACTTTCTTGGATCAAATGGAATTTGTTTCACCTGAGCTATACTGCCCTTTGTTGTTATTTTTCCAAATCCTTCAGTTTGTTCTTTATCTTTCCAGTCTTTGAAATACTGTTTAAAAATTGGATTTTCTCCTCCTTCTGGCAGAATCATTATCTAGAAAAAAATCAAACAAAGTAATTTACTTGCATTTAGATGATAATGATGATTATAATTATTATTAGCATTTCAGCAGTCCAGTTTCTAACTCTTTAGTTGCTGACACAATTTTCCCCTTTTCCAAAAGTTAATAAAATTTGTAACATTTATTATAATAACTATGACTATTTGTATTAATTTTATTTTTACATATTTGGAAAAAATAAAAGTACAGTTAAAAATTAGCCTATAGGCTTACGTTCAGCATTAGAAATACTAATGTTGCCTACCCTGTCTATACATCTTTGTTATTATATTTAAAACTGAAAATTTAATTAGATTTATTCACTAAACAATGAAATTACAAAATAAAAACAGCCAGGGTGTAGAATATAGCTGAGACGGATAACTTTTACTGTTTGGCAATTACCATGTCAATTCTCTAAAATGACGGGTTTATGGAAAAAAAACGCAAGTGTGGTATAAATCGATTCAGAGATTATGTATACCAGTACTTTTGAAACGATACTTTGCATATTTTATCATCCATTTATCCTTACCATAGCTTGCTGTCAATAACAGATATATATTCTTCATAAGAGTACTCCAGTTTAGGTATGTATACTACCAACTTTCAGCTCTATACTGAAAATTAATATAACAAAAAGTCATGGTATTGATTTGGCAATAAGTTGGCTAGATACCTGAGTGGTAGCTGGATAATTCATTTTCTTTATAAAATCTTCTGCAGTCTTCAAAGCTTCCTTTTTCTCATTGGGGTTGGCATTTTTACCTTAACAAAATTGCAAAAAATCCCAAACTATTAATCAGGGCAAGGGATGGAATAAAACTGTGTGTAATAAGATGATATTACTTTTCATTTATCATTCTTCGTATTTTCTCTGATCTACCTCCATCACATTCATCCTTCATTTTAAGATATTTTTTATTCACTTCTCCGCTTTTAAACCAATCTCTTATTTTAATTTCACTTGACATTTACACTGATCGGCCACAATATTAAAATCACCTGCCTAATATCATGTAGTAAGTGGTGGCTCTAGCCACTGGCAGTCTCTCTATTCATCGTTTAGAGGCTGCCAGTGTTGTGGCTCCCTGTACTGCTGCGTTATGAGCTCTCTGACTGTAGTTATGGCATATCTTGCAAAACTAAATTAATTTCCAATAAACAAATTGAAATTGCATTTAGGCTAATTATTTATATACAATTGCAGAGTATGATTGCATAGGCTAGCAGTCGTGTATAAATAAGTGCAAATGTAAAGTAATTAAATTTTTGTTTGCCAAAAATTAATTTACAAAATTAAAAACTTACAGATAAAAAAAGTGTCATGGACATTTCCCCCAAAATATTCTATAATATCTTCACCTATATATTACTTTATATGTTCTTCATGTGTGTTTCCTCTTTATACATAAAATATATTGCCACTTTACCTTTGCATTGCCCATACCACTCTCACATTGCAACCACAGACACAATGATACATACATACATATACACACTGTTACACGCACACATGCACACACTTACACAAACATATATACACATACTGATTGTAAGGATAATTGTGGCATATTATGGCTGACATGATACATACACATGCCTACACACACTAACACACGCACAAAAACATACACATTGACAAATACAGACATGCAGTCACAATGTGTATCTTGTCGTGTGTATTTCAGAGTGTGGCTCGTGTTGTCTATCTTTGTATGTGCCTGAAAATGTGTCTGACAGTGAATGTATGAATGTGTATGGGGTAGCTGCTTGCATTGTGTTGTGCGTATGGGGAGCTGCCAGTGGCATTTGTGCATTGTGTTTATGGCGAGGCTATATTTTATCACCGTGTGTGTATGATGACTGTCTTAATGGGGTGACTGTGATAGGGTGAGTAAAAGGATATCTGTGGCAAGATGAGTGTGAGATGATGATGGGGTGAATGAGACTCCTGTCTCATTGGGGGGTGAGTAGTTGGTGGGGTGAGTGTGTCAGGTTTGAGGGTGTGTGGCATCGTTGGAGGAAGAACTGTTGCAGGAAGAGGGCAGGTAAGTGTGACAAGATTAGGGGGGTTAATGTGACAAGAAGATTGTGACAGGATTGGGGTGAGTGTGGCAAGGTTAGAGGAGTGAGTGTGTCAGAGCGAGGGGAGGGGAGTGTGAGAGGATTAATTGGGGTTTATGTGACAGGATGAGTGTGGCATGGCTTGGGGGGGTTACAGGATTGTGACAGGAGTGTGACAGGATTGGAAGGGTTAATGTGAGTTGTAAGTGTGACAGAGTGACAAAGGATGAGTGTGACAGAGTTGTGGGGTACGCGTGACAGAATTATGTGGGTTAATGTGATTAGGTGAGTTTGGCAGAGCAAGGGGAGGTGAATGGCATGGTTAGAGTGGGTGAGTGTGACAGGATTAGGAGGAGTTAATGTGAGCACGGCAGGGGGACGTGGGGTGACAGTGTGGGGTTGACAGTGTGTGGGAGTGGTATGGTATGTGAGGGGGGTTAGTGTGTGGGGGTGACAGTTTGTGTGGGGGGGGGGTTACACTGTGTGGGGAGGCTATGTTCCAGCCTCCCCACAGTGAAATACCTTTTATTTAATACTAATCTATTACCTGGTTGTCCAGTAATCTACATACCTGGAGATCTGGTGGACTAGGTATCCAGTCTGCAATTCCACCATTGTAGACTTGCAGAGCATGTGGCAGATGTTGAAGTTTTAGAGTGTTGCAACAATAACACGCATCAATGCTCTGTTTGGCCAGAGATTGTGAGACACCCATCTTACTGTCTAGAAGTCTGCGCCCGGTAGAGCTGCTGAGCAAGGGTGTGGGTTTCTCCCACTCCACTCAGTCTGCCCAGAGACGGAGGGGGAGTGCCCTGCGCCTTTGGCCAGCAGCTTCACTGGGTGCAGACTGCACCCGGTGGCACTCAGGGCAATCTGCCTGGCCTCCTTCTGTTGCCAAAACAACACTGATGCATTGACTCCGCAAGACCTCTGAATGGATCATGTGGTATGTGGCACCATGACATTAGCAGCAGATCCTTTAAGTCCTGCAAGTTAGAGCCTCTGTGGATGAGATTTGTTGTTCCAACACATCCCACAGATGCTCAATCAATCAGATGCTCAATCAAATTAGAAACCAAGGCAATACCTTAAACTCGTCATGTTCCTCAAACCATTCCTGAACAATTTTTGTAAAGTGCCTAAGTGCAGTATCCTGCTGAAAGAGGCCATTGCCATCAGTGCACACCATTGACATGAAAGGATGTACATGGTCTGTAATTATCTCTAGGTAGATGGTACGTGTCAAAGTAAAATCCATGTGAATGTCAGGACCCAGGTTTTGCAAGCCTTTAGGTTTCCCACAAGACTTGCAGTTTTGGAGATGCTCTGAAAGTCACTCAGATCTTTTTGTTTGCCAAGTTTCCTACTTCTAACACAAGAAATTCCAGAACTGACTGTTCACTTGCTGCCTAACATATCCCACCCCTTGACAGGTGCCATTAAAACAATATAATCAATGTTATGTACTTCACCTGTGAAGTGATTTTAATCTTGTATCTTTAATAATCAGTGTATATTCTAATTAATCACCAGGATTTCTGTCCCTATAACTTTATTTGTCCTCTGATTTTTCCCTTCCTCTAAGATTCTAACTTTTCCTGCTGGTGGAATAATAATATTCCAAGTGGCATATTGACGGAAGCTAGATATCAGACCTGTTCTACTGACATGCATCTCCTTATCTACAGTATATCACATTTCCATGAAAACCCAAACCTCAACCTTTGTAGGCCTTTAGGATGGAATGTTTCAGGGTATCAACTCTGACCCATGCTCATCCCACAATTCAACAGAAAGGAAGGGTTTTTAGTGTTTTTTCTTTACATGTTATTAGTTTAGATTTTTTATGGTCTTGATAATTTTCCCTGTAATTTATTATATATAAAACTAGCTTCACCTTTCCATACAAAAATATTCTGGTCAGCACCGTCCAGCACAAAGCACTCTTCTGTCAGGAGCATAGACATAGAAAAGGGACTGCTCTCTGAAACCAGAGTCACTTGCATAGATCCACTGGCATCTGATACCTAAAACGTAAAGATTCTTATATCAATAGTATTAACATTGTTTATAAGCAACCTCAGTGTGTTACAATATTAATGAATATAACGGAATATTATTGAAGTGAATCAGACGCAAAAACAACTATTAACCAATTATTACCAACTATTAACCAAACCAATTAATGTATAATCATAATAATGAATACATGCAGACATTCCATTTCAACATCAAGGAATTTATGTCAAAATGATATCTAACGGGTCTAGTGCCAACTATTAAAGTGAAGTGATAGTAATAAAAAAATTAACCATTAGCAATGGTTTTATAAGACTGCATATTTAAATAAAAAAAATTATAATACACAAAACTATTGGTCAAAGATATGTGCCATGCTGTTTTTATAAAATATGATAAACAGCAAATTATAATAATTCTGTTTGAGAGGGTGTAGCTATTTATACAAATATGGCAAAATATCAAAACACTAGGTTGTATAAGTCTCGTTCACAAGAGATCCTGCATTTATGTTTTGTGTAAACAAAGCAGTGTGCAAACCTGTTTAGTAGTTTATTACACAGAGGTTACCTGCTTCCTAGTTACATTGTTTAAATAAAAAAAAAAGGTGTGTCCTGTCCTAAAAAGCAGGCCAGATGCATGCTGGAAAATATTACATAAGAAGTAAGCATATGGGATATATGATACTGCTTTTATATATATATTATATATATTATGAATCTACAGGGTTTTTAATTACAGTATTTAAAGAGGCGGTTTAAGCACCATAATCACTTTGTATTATTACAAATGAAACTGCAGTGAACTGGACTGAACATCTATATAGCTGCTATCAGTTTATTGCACAGTTCCAGGGATTATTAGAATTACTCTTCAGGGTTAAACTAATTTTATCACATGACAGGAGGCTTCGTATTTTGCATAATCTTTCTTTACTATCTCCATAGCAGCAAAGAAATGAGTGACAAAACTTTTAACCAATCACAACGTAGAATAGGGTATAAGAGGTGAGACCTATGACATCATTTCCTCTTTCTTTGCTGCTCCATCACAAGCTAAGTACCAAATTTTGTATTATCTATTCAACATACACTTTTCATTTACATGACCTTTTGTTTCACTGTACCTTTATATATTTACCCTATTAATGCTCTTAACCCCTGTATACCAGGGGACCCTGTCTGGCTCCCTAACTGTCTTTCACGGCTTTCCCGCCGTCTGTACTTTTCCTCCATTTTCTCTGTTTCTCTTTAACAGTTTTCTGTTCTTTCTACCGAACGCGTTATTCGGTAGTTTTGCGCATTCGCCTGTTTTACTCGAATGCCCGCGCGACCGCACATTGACTATTCGTTTCTAACTACCGAACGCTTCGTTCGGCAGTTTGACGCGATCGCCTTTTTAAACGTTCGCACGTTCGGCATTCGCACGTTCGGCAGTTCGCATAGATCTTCTATTCACGTTCGGCAGTTTTATGCGAATGGCAAGCTTACAGTTTGCCGCCCAAACTGGGGGAGGTACTATTCTCCACACACTGAGCCTGTCAGTCCGGCGGCCATCTTAAAGAGATAGACACTGCCTGATTTTTCTGCTCCTGCTATTCCAACAAGCAATTGAAAGCCTTACCCTTTTCACTCAGTGGGACCAGGTTAGTGCCTTACACTTGGGGTTGGTTTAGCCAGTTGGTCTGCACCTTATTCTGGCCGGGGTGAGCCCCCATTTTACGCTGCTAAACGGTCCTGTTTATGCAGGTTCCGATCACCTGGGTGAGCCCCAGTGAATCAGCCCTCTCCTCTACGACCTACCGGTCTCTAACCACAGGTTATTTAGTCCTGATACCATACCACCCCGGTCCCCAGGCCTCTCCATTAATCGTGCCTAGTGCCCTCACGCAATTTACCGGGTGAGCCCCGAATCCTCACTCCTCATAATGGAGGAATCACAAACCCCAGACCTCCAGGCCATGATAACAGCAGCCGTGGCTGCAGCCATGGAACAAGCCGCTTCCAAGTCGCTCCAAACAAACCCTGAGGTTCCCAGGCCCACCTCTAAACGGGTTCATTATAAGGCGGACTCCGAAGACTCTGACTCTTCCAGGGAACACTCCCAACAGCGAAAACGCCATTGGAAGGGCAATGTAACCCCACGCAAGGCTAAAGGGAAAGCCCCTGCTGATCGCAGGAAAGCCACGGTTCGTGCTACCCACGATGCCACACAACTTTCCTCAGGTGAGGAAGATGTAGAACCCACTCAGGCACTAGCTGTGCTGGATGAATGGCAGGCGGCAGCCTCTGACCAGGGGGACTCTGACAGGGATTCCACGGCCAACTCTGACCCTTACTTCATAAGGGAACAGGGTCTGGGTGAGCCCCAGGACTCCATGGCAACATCCATTGATAACCCACAGGAGGGCTCGGAGATTTTCCTCGACAATTCGGGCCTCCAAATGTTTGACCCAAGAAACATCCGGCACCCCCGTTCGGAAGAATGGTCTCCACCTGAGCATTTGGCAAGGTTTATGCACTTCTGGCTCAGAAAACCGCTAGACAAGGAAGTAGAAACCGGATGAGATCCGAATGCCCTCGCCCTAGTCTACCGGACAAAGTGACGCACACCCCCGAGTTTGACCCGCTCATGACTACGTTCATGTCCCGAGGGGGTCGGGATCCGCGCAAGGGCATAGAGCGCGGCTTTAAAGGAGCGCAAGATAAGCTGCTAGATGCCATTGGGCCACTAGCCAGAATCATGGATATGGCGGATGAAGCCTATGAGAGGGCTGACACTTTTACCCCAGATACGGTGCGTGAATGGGCACGAGATACCCGTGAATGGGCACAAAGGTGTTTCTGTTTCTTAGGGAACACCAACGTAGCCCTCTCTTCGGAGAGGCGCCGAGCAGCACTTTACCGTATCGACGAAAAACTGGTCGAACTGGGGGATAAGGAATTAGGACCCTTAGCACAGGGTAAACTATTTGGAGAGGCCTTCCTTAAGGAATTAAATAAAAGGGTCAACATATTCACGTCCCTTAACAAGGCACAATCTTCAATGCGGAAAGTCTTCCGCGGTTCCCACACCCGTGGTGTTTTTGGAAGGGCTGGACGGCAGAGGGGCCGTGCCGCCAGCCGTTTTTGGCCATCCGGCCCCCGTACAACAAGGACTCAGATGTTCTACCCAGACTCATCTAGTCGAAATAGATTCAACCACTTCAGGGGATCTGATCGTGGCCGAGGCACCCGAGGACGCTCACGAGCAAGATTCTCCAACGGTAAGTCGGAATCTTACTCTTCCTCTAACCCCTGTCATATCGCAGGTCGTGTTTCTCTTTTTTTCCAGAACTGGAAAGAACTATCTTCAGATGCGTGGATAATCCAAACGGTGCAGGGCTATCGAATAGAGTTCGACTCGACCCCGCTCCAGCTGACCCCTCCACGTCCAATCCAGACTACACGGGCAGATGCCCGCCTCATAGACGCGGAACTCCGAGAACTCCGCTCCAAGGGTGCCATTCAACCGGCTCCGGATGCCACCGGTTTCTACAGCAATATCTTCCTGGTCAGGAAGAAAACAGGCGAATTTCGCCCCGTTATCAATCTCAGGGAGCTCAATTCGCATGTAGTATATCGACACTTCAAAATGGAAGGTATACACCTCCTCCGGGACTTGCTTCGACGCGACGACTGGTTCACTCGTCTGGACCTCAAAGATGCGTACCTTACCATTCCGGTACACAGAAGCAGCCGTCCCTACCTCCGCTTCTTCTGGCACGGGATTCCTTGGCAGTTCACCTGTCTCCCGTTTGGCCTCAGCTCGGCCCCGTGGTGTTTTACCAAGATCATGAAGCCGGTAGTGGCAAAAATCAGATCCCAAGGTATAAGATGCATCATCTACCTCGACGATATCCTGATCTTCGACGAGGATGCAGACACTCTGCGGAGACATACGGAATACGCACTACACCTTTTGGACTCTCTGGGTTTCGTCGTCAACCGTCCCAAGTCCGCATTGACTCTGGCTCAATCTGTTCAATTCCTCGGATTCGTAATAGACTCCACATCATGCACTCTTCACCTCCCGGCTACCAAAATTACGGCAATCCGCAGGGAAATCCGGAAAGTCCTTCGTCGGACTACCATACCCCTACGATTACTGGCACGGATCGTAGGCCTTCTCTCCGCGTCCATCCAGGCCATTTTTCCCGGGCCCCTGCACTACAGGGCCATGCAACGCCTCAAGGCAAGTTTCCTTCGCAGACAACCGACATACGACCAACCGGTTCCAATGTCGGTCGAAGTTCGGGAAGAACTACACTGGTGGCTGAATTGCATGCAGGCTTGGAACGGCAGGGCCATATTCGGGAACCAGCCAGACTTCGTGCTGGAATCGGATGCCAGCCGTTCAGGCTGGGGGGCAACAGACGGAACCACGTCCACAGGAGGAGTCTGGACTTCCGAAGAGCTCTCGATGCACATAAATTGCCTGGAACTCTTGGCCGGGTCCTTCGCCATTCGCAGCCTGGCAAAGGACCGATCCAACTGCTGCATCCTACTCCGCATGGACAACGTCTCAGCGGTCAGATACATCAACCGCCTTGGAGGCACTCGTTCTCGAACACTGGCGGATCTCACGAAAGAGATCTTCGACTACTGCCTACCACGCAACATCACCTTGCTGGCAGAGCACTTACCAGGAGACTCCAATACGACGGCGGATTGGTACTCACGCCACTGGCGGGACGCCAGCGATTGGCAGCTAGACCCTCACATTTTCGCGCTACTGGATGCACAGAGGGGACCTCTCTACCTAGACCTTTTCGCGTCCCGCAACAATCGACAGACAGAAGTTTTCTTCAGCTGGCTCCCAGACCCGGAGAGCCTGGCAACGGACGACGGACGCTTTTCTCCAACAATGGCCAAGGGACGGCGCCTACGCATTCCCTCCTTTCGCAATGATAACGAGGGTCCTTCACCGGATCCGTCTACAGGAAGTGAGAATAATTCTCATCACGCCGCTCTGGCAGAGCCAGCCATGGTTTCCGGACCTTCTGGAACTCTCAATCAACGACCCCCTCCTCCTTCCAGATGCCCCAACCATCCTCAGGAATCCATTGGGCCTTCCTCACCCACTAGTCCTGCAGGAACGCTTGCCCCTTGTGGCCTGGACTCTTTCCGGGGTTCCTGGAGAACCGAAGAATTATCGCAGGAAACTAAGGACCTGCTATGGGATTCATGGGCACCAGGAACTAGGAGGTGCTACTTATCAGCATGGCACTCCTGGACAAGTTGGTGTGTGGGACGGGACCTCAATCCCTTTACTGCACCTACTCACTCCATCATGAATTTCTTAACTTCACTTTTCACCGCAGGAAAGTCATACCGTTCCATCAATGTGGTACGGTCAGCCATCTCAGCGGCTCACACTCCGATACAGGGGATTCCTGTTGGTAAGGACCCGCTCATCTGCAGACTTCTCCGCGGTATGCGCCTACGGCGCCCCCCGGAACCTAAATACTCTAGTCTCTGGGACGTTGGCGTGGTCCTTCAATTTTTACGTAATTGGCCTCCCAACGAAAAACTATCACTCCGCCAACTTACCGCAAAATTCACCCTCCTGCTCTGTCTGGTTTCCTTTCGACGGGTAGCGGACGTACGCGCCTTTGATGCCAACGCGTTTACTTTCTGTCCGGCGGGTGTCACCTTTCAGATCTCACGTCGCACTAAGTCCAACTCTCTCTCGGTCTTCTACCCTTTCTTCCCTTCTGACCCTCAACTCTGCGTGGTCTCAACCCTCCGTCACTACGTGGAAGCCACCGCGACGTTGCGGCAACCTTCCACTCATCAACTTCTCATCTCTTACGTCCGCCCTTATGGTCCGGTCTCGGTTACTACACTGGCCAGATGGGTCAGGTGGCTACTATCCCTTGCCGGTATTGACCAAACTTTTGGAGCACACTCCGTTCGTGGGGCAGCGGCCTCTTCCGCTTATGCGGCAGGCGCGTCCCTCTCGGACATTTTACGAGCAGCGGACTGGACCAGAGAATCTACCTTTAGGACATTCTACTTTCGTCCTCTTGATAATCCGGCATTTGCTTTTCTTTCTCAGCGTTGAAATTGCAAAATACGAAGCCTCCTGTCATGTGATAAAATTGAAGATTATGCTAGCTTTAGTGTACAGATAATCTTAATTTTAATAATGACAGGAGGCGAGTATTTTCCCTCCCTGTTCTCTTTCGTTCTTCCCTCCCTTTATTTTCACTTCTACCTACTACACTTTGCTCTCTCATATGTTGGTATAATACCTGACACGATAGCTCTTGTTTAACTGCCTTATTTACATCATAGAGATTTATATATTTATATTGTTTGGGTGGGATACTTATTTAACACCGCTAGGGAGGACGTTTAGTTTATTTTATTCTCATGTTACTAGACGATATTAAAGTTGAATTATGGGACAGACATCCTTTGTTTTATACAATCACTTCTGGACTCTAACGCACCTTATACTCTCGTTTCAGCTTAACCAGGAGCTACACGGAATCATTAAAGTCTCCTTGCAAGATGTCGTCATCATCGCATCAGGAGATTCATCATCAGGTCTTCGTAGACCATCGTTTGACAAGGACACGTCTTCATCTGCATTCTACCTGTTCCGATTCAGTTTATTCTGATTAAGTTTCCAGTTTCTTGTTCTATGGACTTCTCAGCTGTTCGGTTAATTTTTTCTACTTTTATGGTCTTGTGATGTCGCAAGTTTAAAAGAGGAAATGATGTCATAGGTCTCACCTCTTATACCCTATTCTACGTTGTGATTGGTTAAAAGTTTTGTCACTCATTTCTTTGCTGCTATGGAGATAGTAAAGAAAGATTATGCAAAATACTCGCCTCCTGTCATTATTAAAATTAAGATTATCTGTACACTAAAGCTAGCATAATCTTCAATTATGTCCCCATCCTCTGCTAGACAGGAGATTTTGCGATATCATAAGTCCTCACAGGCAAAAATGAGAAGATTCTGATTGGAGCTTCTCATACTCTGGTGGGAGGGGACAATGTGCAGCTGCAGGTAAATCCACTAATCAGGCCACCAAAGGTATTAAACACATTTATTTAAAAAAAAAAAAAATGTTTCATTTTAACTGGATAAACCCTTTAACTATAGTTTTAGTGCAGAGGAATGGCTAAAAACATTAAGCCTGACTCAATACAAACATAAACACGAATAGCAATACAAAACCTTGAAGTGCAGCCAGCCATGATTACAAGTAAACAAAACAAGAAAGGTAATACTAAGAGACAAAACAGGGCAAGGCAAGTACATGTGTATATATTATAAAAGTACAGTCATGGGAAACACAAATAGGCAATGGAACGTTAACACACTTGTGCACTAACAGTAATATCAAGCCAAGGTAGGGCTCCGTATAGAGCATCAAACAGGTTTATCTGTAACTGCTACACCTATATATTTTTACATACCCTGTTATTTTTGCTGTGTGTGTTTTTATATTTAGTGATTATTATTTTATTATTTTCAATGTATATATTTCCATGTCTTTGTAACTACAGCCTGTGCTAATCATATTTTGCATATCCCTGGCACATTGCTTATTTTATCACCTTTGTCTTGTACATTATGTTAAAAGTTAGTTTAACCAGCTCAGATCTTTGGAACTTTACCTAAATTACATAAACTACAAATTCAACAATTGTGTATCAGGACAAATTCAAATAGCACAATGACAGCAGTCTGCTCTTTTAAATATCTAGGTATGTTGCTAGACCCCAATCTATCCTTTGGCTTTCACATTGAAAAAATCTTTTTAAAACTTCATCCAAAACTAGGTGCCCTGTACAGAAACAAATCCTGCCTAAGCCCTACAGTAAGGAAACAGATAGTGCAACAAATGCTAATGCCGGTCATTAATTATGGGGATGTAGTGTATTAATTATGGGGATGTAGTGTAAGTACCCGCACCGCAAACCCACCTTAATAAACTTAATACGTTATATAATTCATTCTGTCGCTTTGTACTTGAATGTAATTACTTTACCCACCACCAGGGCCAGATTAAGAGCCCAGTGGGCCTGGTGCTGACAATTATGATGGGGCCTAATTACAGAATCTTATCGACCAAAAACACTAGAACAGTCATACCTCTCAAGCGTCATGTATCTGATGGAGTTGGTGTTGGAGAGAAACTCAAAGGATGCAGCTATAAGAAAACACATACTATATACACACACCCTGCATTATACACACACACACACTGCATTATACACACACACACACTGCATTCATACACACACTGCATTATATACACACACACACTGCATTCATACACACACACACTGCATTCATACACACTGCATTATATACACACACACACACACACTCCATTCATACACACACTGCATTATATACACACACACTGCATTCATACACACACTGCATTATATACACACACACTGCATTCATACTCACACACACTGCATTCATTCATGCTCTCCCCGGCTGCACTGGTGAAAACATTTATTTTTTAATGGCCATTTTGATAAGTTAGAGCTGTGTTTCTGATTTGACCAGCAGATGGCACCAGCTACACATTCATGCAATGATTCATATTTATTTACTAACAAGGATCAGAATTACACATTTTGCATTTATTTATTTTTTTGGCAAATCTAAGTCTATCAGTACATTTCTCTGCTAAGGTTGTTTCTTTTTCTTAACTACTTTTGATTATAAAATCAATTGCACACATTTAGCATATTCCAGTACTACACGTTCTAAAGTTTTATACATACTCAAACTGGGGAAGAGAGAGTTCCCATTGTAAAACGTGGTCTTACCATGTGTAGTTTTGCCTTTTTTCGATGAGATACATCAGCAGCAATGTCGGTATCATCATCTCCTTCAGGCAGGTCAGGTTTGGTACCTAAAATCTGAATGAAGAAAAACATGATACATAATTAATTATAATAAAAAGGCTAATAAGTACTATACATTTATTAGTTCCATTTTAAGTCAATAAATCCCCTTCTAGGAGGGTACATGGTCACAGGAAAAGACCAAGCAAGAACGTTCGACACCAAGAAATGAAGACCTCTTTGCCTTCTACCTCTCATGATAACACATATTTTTTTGTGCACACACAACTTTTGAATCTTACAAGGCTACTTAAAATCACCTATCTTGTAAAACAAATGGGGTTTGGTTACATCATGTGGACCTACTGTGTTAAGCCCACACCTTCATTTTAGAACCACGATATAAGCGAGTCCTAAGATAATTTTAACATGGGAGATAAACAATATAAATAATTACTGCTCAATCTTTTTTTGACTCAAACCAAAAGTGGAGGGGTGCTCAATCCAAAAGGAATATGGTCTGGATTCCAAATATACAAAAAAAGACAATTGAGGGGCACACTCAAAACACGCATTTCTTAGTAGTGGTGCTTCTGTAAAGACTATAATATAGGCAACATACAGACTAAGGAGAAAGGGCATACATAAAAATAAATACATAATACATTCATAAATAAAAATAGCTTTAAACGGCTACTTAAAATCACCTATCTTATTCCAAATCCCTATATTTGTTTGCTAAAATAGTGATTTAAAACTGTATATTGTTTGTGTGTGCTGTTCCCTTAATCTGTTTTTTTGCATATATGTTGGTCTTTATAAAAGCACTACTAATATGAATTGTGTGTTCTGGGTGTGCCCTCAATTCATTTTTTTCTGTTTATTTGGAATCCAGACCAAATAATTCCATAATTCTGAAACAATAGTTGTTTACTGCGTGCTGCGACACATTTTAACAATGGGAAAAGAATTAGAAAGCTGTTGATTTTTTTTGTTTTTACCAATTAGACTGTATCATCGCATATAACATAAATTAGATATATTTTAACGACGGGGAAAGAATTAGAAAACCGTAACATTTTTACCAATTTGACCGTTTTATCGCATATATATTAGGACCAGGCCCTATATAAGAGAGCCACTGGGAAGAAATTAAAAAAGAAATGTGTAACATGAAACAGGATAATGTGATAAATATCTACAATTACTATACAGATAATTTACATCTATGTTATAGATTAGCTGCTCTATCATTTGATTGCACTGATAATGTATACTTATATTTTGTTTACAAGATATTTGTATCTCTAAACCTTAATCCTTTTAAATCTCCAGGAAATGTAACTCCACATTCCACAAAGAGGCATGATTCCAATTTAAAGACAAGGTTAGCAAGTATTAACACGAGGGCTTACAGTCAGTGACTAATATTGTTTTAATTCTGCAATAAGTGGAAATTAATTATATATTTACTCTGTACCTGTCACTGCCCTTGATGCTTAAAAATGTCACATTTACACCAAAAAGATTCTATTTCAACTCAGTGTGATTAAAGCTAACAAAACTTAATGAACAATCCACTGTCCAAATAACAAACAAAATCACTATTTAGTATATATACCGCGATGAAAACATGCATGCATTTCATTATACATTTTTCATTGAGGATATATGTGAAAACAGCTTGAAAAAGCTGCCGATCTTTTGTCTGAAGCCTTTGCAAGCGCTCCTCTTTTAACTCTGCCCAGAATATCTGTGGCTGTCCAATCAGCAGACAATGAGAAGTCTTTTCAAGACAGGTGCTCTGGGCAATTGCTGCCTCTTGAGTTTAGCTTTATTGAGCTAAACAACCAGGAAGCAACAGGATCCATTGTCTGCTTGACAGGTGCCAACAAAAGGCCAATGTCTGTGGAAACCTGCATTTTCTGTAAAATGAAAAAACACAGGACACACTCTTCACACATATAGCACGATAAATGCTTTATGGGTGAGGAGTATCCTCGTTTAGCCTCGGTTTATAAAAGTGCTGGTTTCTATGAGTAATCATCAATTTTATAAAGTAACTAGGTACCTCCCCCCCCCCGGCTGTCAATCAAACAGCTCACTGAGCTAACGGAAATTGCAGGAATGCTCTACTTGAGCGTGCCTTCCTCCTCCCCCATAGACCTCAGATCAGCTCCTCCAGACCTCAAACTAGGTATTCCGGAGTGGGCATGCACGTGTGCACTAATTCAGAGGATTCTCAATGAGAAAACCTCTGATTGGTTATTTCCCTGTGAAGAGACTAAAAGTCTCTGCTGGGAAAAAAGTGGGAAGGGCTTGCTAAGGATGCAGTTCATAAGAGCTGCAGCCTTTGCAAGCTCTTTTAAGATATACACCCAGTGAATACATGCACGTACTAATCGCGGGTGTATCTACTAACCAGCGTTTTTCTTTTTTTTTTGCCCATTTGGGCAGTGGGTTGTTCCTTTTAGTGTTTTAGATGTGTGGAGTGTTCCTTTAAACTAGGGGTGCCCAAATAGTAGATATCCAGATGTTGTAGAACAACTCCCATAATGCTTTGTCATTTAAAACAATTCTAGAAGCATGCAAAGCATCATTTCAGTTGTAGTTCTACAACACCTGGGAATCTACCTATTGGGCACCCATGCTTTAAACCATTCATTACTACAGCTGAGAGTTAAAAAGCACAGCTAAGGGGATTCAAAGTGAGCAGCTCCACAGATAACAAGGAGAGGTATACGCCCCCACTAACTTAGCAGCTGAAATCTTTACTCGGATTGGTTGGCTTCCTCTCAGCTAGTCTCTCTACATTCACCAGGCCTTCATCCTCTTTGGAAATAATTGCTTAGGTTTTTTATTTTATTTTACACAAAAACCTAATGCACATAACCTTATGATTTTATAAAGAATATTCATATATTTGAATGCATTTAACAGATGTGTATGGGCTTCCTTTCAGAGTTGTGATCAACTTCTATTACCTGCAGCATTAAAATAGTGAAATAACTGTTAGCTAGCAAGGCTTTGTTTGGCTATCCTGCGCTCTGGTCACTTTTTTAATTGTTTGTAGTTGCCTCTTGTTTGGTATTGTTTCTAGAAAACACAATGCAGTGCACAGTAGAAGAAACATTAGAGAATAACAACTACGGCGCATTTGATTGTGTGTTTGGACACTTGTTACCAATGTAACTTACAATTAATATAAAGATTAAATGTCATGGTAAAACTGTTAAAGGACCACTATAGGTACCGAGACCACCTTAGCTCAAAGAAGTGGTCTGAGTGCCTGGTCCCCCAGGTTTTAACCCTGCAGCTGAAAACATAGCAGTTTCAGAGAAATTGCTATGTTTCACTGAGGGTTAATCCAGCCTCTAGTGGCTGTCTCCCTGACAGCCACTAGAGGCCGCTTCCGTGATTTACACAGAGTAAATCGCACTTATTTGACGCTGGACTCCATGAGGAAAAAAGATACCCATAGGAAAGCATTGAGTATGGGTGGGTATAAATGCGTGCGCGCCTCTGGCCGCACATGCGCATTCGGCTCCACTCAGGAGCTGACGTCAGTGGGGGAGGAGAGGTCACCAGTGCCACGGGAGCCCGTCGCTAGATTAAGGTAAGTGGCTGAAGGGGTTTTAGAGGGAGGGGGCACTCTGAGAGCCTATAGTGTCAGGAAAATTGGTTTGTTTTCCTGGCACTCTATGATCAATTTAAATTAATATCTAGTGAGCAAAAGAAGGCCAAAAAAACCCAACTGTTATGCTGCCAATAGCTACGTATCCATCTTTGCAAGGTACTGACATGGACACTCAATATCTAAGTGTTGATACTTTAATAAGGAATACTAGAATTCTAGAGATCAAGTAAGGAATAGGCTTCTAGTTTCTACTCCATCCCCACCCACCTAAAAAAATAAAAAATTGGAAGTTGGAATCTCTTTCTCCTGACAGGACTTCCTGTAAATACATCCATACACTTTGCATCTATAATTGTACATGTATAGGGGAAATACGCCAAGCCACACAAACAGTTTCCAGGCAATTGTTCCCATTTTGATTTTGATCCAACCATATCTTAAAAAAATTCTAGGTAATTTCCACAAGTAAAAAGACTGGCAGAGTAGATGTAAAAATTCAAACAAAGTATGTGCTCAGATCCAGTGTTAATTTTGTCGACTAACAATTTTCGTCAATTTTAGTCGACTAAAACTTTTGAGCTTTAGTCGACTAAAACTCGACTAAAACTAAAACAATTCAGATTTCTATAATAGATCTAAAACTAAAATGGCTTTTTAGACAAAAGACTATGACTATGTAGTAAATGGAGTATATTCGAAGCATGGGCTTGTCACCAGTGGGGTACCTCAGGGATCTGTACTTGGACCCATTCTCTTTAATATTTTTATTGGTGATATTGCAGAAGGTCTTGATGGTAAGATGTGTCTTTTTGCTGATGATACTAAGATATATAACAGGGTTGATGTTCCAGGAGGGATAAGCCAAATGGCAAATTATTTAGGTAAACTAAAACATGGTCAGAGTTGTGGCAACTGACATTTTTTTATTTTTTTTTTATAATTTTTTATTTTTGCATTGCATAGTATAAGTACATCCGGGCTCGAGGTACCCCAACGGCAATCTAGCGACATTTCAAGCTTTGCAAATGGGGAATAGATTTAACATGCACAATTTTGTATTATAGTAAATAACAAGATGATCCTGAGCAAGTTAGCAGAATATTATAATAATGTAATATTGTCGAAGGAGTGACACTGTGTCTCATGGGACATGTAACTCGCAATGCATTTAAGATCAACGTAATATATAATAGACTAGGCACAGGCTTATGTAAAGCTATGGATACTAGTGGCAACTGACATTTAATACAAAATATTTGATAGAGTCCTAACCTCAACATCTGAGGAAAGGGATTTAGGGGTGATTATTTCTGATGACTTAAAGGTAGGCAGACAATGTAATAGAGCAGCAGGAAATGCTAGCAGAATGCTTGGTTGTATAGGGAGAGGTATTAGCAGTAGAAAGAGGGAAGTGCTCATGCCATTGTACAGAACACTGGTGAGACCTCACTTGGAGTATTGTACACAGTACTGGAGACCGTATCTTCAGAAGGATATTGATACCTTAGAGAGGGTTCAGAGAAGGGCTACTAAACTGGTTCATGGATTGCGGGATAAAACTTACCAGGAAAGGTTAAAGGATCTTAACATGTATAGCTTGGAGGAAAGACGAGACAGGGGGGATATGATAGAAACATTTAAATATATAAAGGGAATCAACACAGTAAAGGAGGAGACTATATTTAAAAGAAGAAAAACTACCACAACAAGAGGACATAGTCTTAAATTAGAGGGACAAAGGTTTAAAAATAATATCAGGAAGTATTACTTTACTGAGAGGGTAGTGGATGCATGGAATAGCCTTCCAGCTGAAGTGGTAGAGGTTAACACAGTAAAGGAGTTTAAGCATGCGTGGGATAGGCATAAGGCTATCCTAACTATAAGATAAGACGAGGGAGTAATGAAAGTATTTAGAAAATTGGGCAGACTAGATGGGCCGTATGGTTCTTATCTGCCGTCACATTCTTTGTTTCTATCTATTTTCCCATGTAAAACTAAATTGAAATTTTCCGCCAAAATGAACACTGCTCACATCTCTCCATATTGTGAGACATTGCCTGCAAGCATTTGTTAGAAGTACATGCGCAGCAGACTGGAACTGACAATAGCAAAATAAATGTGGGCACCTATCAAAAAACAAATCTCTACCATTGCGGCTTTTTATAATGTTGCTATTAATTTACTGAAAGATGTAATACAACATGTCGTTGTTATTTCCTATGTCATTTATGTTGTTACCAACCCATTTCTAATGAAAATAAGCTAAAAAGAGCTGTAGCCACCCGACAGTGATTTCCCTGCTGATTTCAGGCATACTGGGACATGTAAGCTTTAAGTTTGCCCTGAATTTAGGGGCCCATTTTGCTCTGTAATAATCCGAGAATAAGTCATGAAATATGTTATCCGCTTACAGGGCTTATAATCACACCATTGTTTCACCACAGGCAGAAAAAAAAAAAGAGTTTAAGTTAAAGTAACATTTCATAATTTATATCATACGTGTTTCAAAGAAAACAATTGCTTACCGTTTCATTCCAGAACTATATTTTTGATTTTGTAGTGCCACCTAGTGTGAGATTAGTAAAAATGCATTTCAATATATTTTGGCCTCTTGACTGACAGAATCCTGATAACTATTCTACTACTATTTTCATTTATATTATTTATTTTATTTATAAAATATTTTTATTTATTTATAAAATATTTTACCAGGAAAGATACATTGAGATTTCTCTTGTTTTCAAGTATGTCCTGGGTCCACAAATCATTGCATTGTTACATTAGGTACAACAAAATACAAAAACAATATTAATACACAATATATACAAAATTTAACATAGAACAGGCAGGAAATATATAATCAACCATGACACGTGCATTCTGTTTTGAGGTATGTAGAGAGGGATCTCTTAAATGACTTTAGGGAGGTCGTTCCACAATTGCGGCGCTCTGTAGGAGAAGGAGGATCGGGCCGCTTTCTTATATAGCACCAACAAGTATACAAGTATATAAAGGGGATATGAAGAGAGACCCTGCTCAAATACATTTAAAGTCTATGAGGATTTCAGGTAGTCAGGTATACACTGATCAGCCATAACATTTAAACCACCTACCTAACAGCTCTGATGCGATGAGGTATTGACACCACAAGATCTCTGAATGTATCCTGTGGTATCTTGAACCAAGACATTAGTAGCAGATCCTTTAAAGGGACACTATAGTCACCTGAACAACTTTAGCTCAATTAAGCAGTTTTGGTGTATAGAACATGTCCCTGCATCCTCACTGCTCAATCCTCTGCCATTTAGGAGTTAAATCCCTTTGTTTATGAACCCTAGTCACACCTCCCTGCATGTGACTTGCACAGCCTTCCATAAACACTTCCTGTAAAGAGAGCCCTATTTAGGCTTTCTTTATTGCAAGTTCTGTTTAATTAAGATTTTCTCTATGTTAATAGCTTGCTAGAACCTGCAAGAGCCTCCTGTATGTGATTAAAGTTTGATTTAGAGATTGAGATACAATTATTTAAGGTAAATTACATCTGTTTGAAAGTGAAACCAGTTTTTTTTTTCATGCAGGCTCTGTCAATCATAGCCAGGGGAGGTGTGGCTAGGGCTGCATAAACCGAAACAAAATGATTTAACTAAGTGAAATCACAGGGGAATGATCTATACACTAAAACTGCTTTATTTAGCTAAAGTAATTTAGGTGACTATAGTGTTCCTTTAAGTCCTGCAAGTTGTGTGGCTTGCATTTGTTGTTCGAGCACATCCCACAGAGCAAAACCTTGTATTCTTTGTTCTGTTGCTCAAACAAATTCTGGACAGTTTTTGCAGTGTGGCAGGTTGCATTATCCTGCAGAAAGAGGCCACTTCCACCAGGGAACCACCACTGCCGGGAAGGGCTGTACATGTAAATCCCTGCAACAATTTTTAGGTAACTGGTACGTGTCAAAGTAACATCCACATGAATGTCAGAACCCAAGGCACACTCACACATCCATTTACTTGATCGAAATAAACCACCACACCAGTAAACATAATATACAAAAAAAACAAAACAAAATTGTGCTATGCATGTCATGAGAGGTGAATATATTATTTAAAACCTCACTTAGTGGAAAATATCAAACATATTCAAATTTTTTAGATTTATTCGACTAAAACTAGACTAAAACTAAAACAATTCAGATGACTAAAATACAACTAAAACTAAAATGGCTTTTTAGTCAAAAGACTATGACTAAAACTAAATTGAAATTTGCAGCCAAAATAAACACTGCTCACATATCTCCGTATTGTGAGACATTGCCTGCAAGCATTTGTTAGAAGTACATGCGCAGCAGACTGGAACTGACAATAGCAGCATAAATGTGGGCACCTATCAAAAAACACAAATCTCTACCATCGCAGGTTTTTATTATTTTGCTATAAATTTACAAAAAGATGTAATACAACATGTCGCTGTTATATTCTATGTCATACACCACTGATAAAAAAACACAACAGCATAATTAATAATTTATTCTTTAACTATTGGTTGATTTCAAACCATAAAATTCAAATGATGCTGATCTCAGATATATCCTGGCTTTGCAGACATCGTGCCAGAAGCAGCAAACCTGGTGATCTGCTGCAAATCAGATACATGTAGATATTGGTACTTATAGTAATTATGAAAAGTACACTATAATCACCAGAGCCACTGCTGCTTCATGTAGTTGTTCTGGTGTCTATAGCCTGTCCCTGCAGGCTGAGTGATGAAAATAATGCCTTGATGAGCTAAGGCACTGTTTAAATTGCTGCCTAGTAAGATCTCTAGTGGCACATAGACGGCCACTAGAGGTGTTTCATATTCTAGTACTGATCCTACGCTTAGCATCTCCACCCTCTGCATGAAGACTCAATGCCTCTCTATGAGGAGATGCTGATTGGCTCAGTGCAGAGTTTTGCCATGCATGTGCAATAGCCTCCCAATGCTTTACTAACCCAATCCTCAAGTACCCCCTAACAGTCCAGGATTTAGGGATTACCCATTTGTGTCTAAGGTGTTTTTAGAAAGAAAGAACACAACATGGTAATACCTAAATCTTGGCCTGCTAGGGGGTACTTGAGGACTGTATTGGGAACCCTTGGCTTAGATCATCAAGATTTATAATCTCAACCATGGAGGCAGGGTTAACGGAGGCAATATCGGCACAGAGGTGGAGTAAAGCTAAGTAAAATCACCTTTTCACTCCAAAGAGGGAGTGCCGGACACCTGAACGTTTATTCCAGTACTATGGTGCTAGGAACACTATGATGTTCCTGTAATTTATTTTAATGCAGTTTCACTTCTAAATATAATAGTATGGTGTTATTACGTTTTATAAGAGTGTACTCTATAAAATGATAATCATTAGTCATGCCAATTAATTACTTACTTTAATAAGATCACTTGGTTCACTTCCTTCTTCTATAACTGTCAGGTTTGCTCTTCCTTTTCTTTCATTGTCACGAATTCCAGTAGCAACTTGTGAGGCTTTTACTCGCTCGTACTTGTTGCATTTACTCCCACACCACTGATAAATTTCCTGTGGGTAATAAAATCACCAATATTATATCACCTGAAAACAGAAAGATTTAGTAACGCGTTCCTTTTTAACAAGAGATTCAAAAATGTAGCAAGGGAATAGTCACCAATGTTCCTGCTGATTCCACTGGTTTCCACGGTGATTGCCCCACATCTAGTACTTTAGAACACAGTCCAGATTAGGACACTTTGATAAATCTCCCTCATTATGCTTCTATAGTGGTAGTCACAATCAAATGAAAAAATAGTTTATAATTGGTTGTTTTTCCACAACAGTGTAATATAGCATAGTGTAGAGCAGTAGTTGAACGATGATGTGGAAGAGACATTTCGACTTACGTATTTCAGTCACCTGGAAATTGATTTAACGTTTTGGTAGATTTTTTTTTTCTGAGAGTTTAGTCCTGAAGAGTTTGCTTTATAAATTAAAGGGGATTGATAAGTTTCACTTACCATAGAAACCATCTTTAGAAGGCCCTGACAATCAGTTATAAGAATGTGCAGCTGAATGCAATCTCAGATGATGCATAGGGCTACCATTGGCTAGAACAGGCATAGGCAACATTCGGCACTCCAGATATTTTGGACTATACCTCTCATGATGCTTTGCCAGCATTATGGGTGTAAGAGCATTATGGGGGATGTAGTCCACAGCATCTGGAGTGCCGAAGGTTGCCTAAACCTGGGCTAGACTATAGGCTAAAATGTTACCAACCAATGCTTTTTTATTACTTTCATTATAATCAGCTGATGTTCATCTACAACATCAGGTGTGGCAATTTACATGTCTGGGATCCTATTTTCTCATATAAGTTTCTATGTCTATTGATACAGTATATTCAAAGCCAGTGTGTGGCTTTGTCATGGTGAGGTGGTTGTCCAAACTTCTTAGAGGAGCAACATTTCAAAAGAAAGATAAAATAAAGTAGTAATAAATAAATGAGAGCGTGCCTTCCACCTCACACAGAAAATCTCCCAATGTTTGAAAATTCTACACAGCTTTTCAACATGACGGGCAAATAAATATTGCCACGTAACATTTTAGGGTATTTTTCTTGCTAATTATTACAGCCATACTGTCTTCATGTAATCCTGATTGTAATAAATTACATAATGCCAATTAATAACATACTTTCCCTTTTGAAGATACCGACGGTATCTTAAAAAGAGAAATCAAGCTATTAATGTGCATTATGTAAATCCTTATTACATGGCATCATACCAGTAGTCTGTAACATGTGCCTAGATAGTGTCGCTCCTCCACCTCGTGTCTAAAGTAATGTGTATAGACCTTACACCTAAAGTAATGTACATAGAGTATATACATTCCTTTAGGCATGGTGGAGGTGGATTTAAACAATTACACAACTATCAGTATCCTACACATTGCTGAGATGAGGTAAGTAGGGAAGGAGTAGCAAAACTATTTAGACACCCAATATGGGACACGGAGAAAGCTAACGGTTCACAGGTTAGTGCGTGCAATATTTGCCTTGCCATGGGTGCTGGCATCCCACGCTACGCCACTTGGGCTGGTGGTATAATTATTACTACTCTAGGCAAAACTCCAATTTTCTCCCGTGAGTCTTTTTAGCCTCTCTCGTTTCTCAGTTTGCTGGTAGCCCCGCCTACTTGCTCCTTTTCTCATTTTGTCACTGTTTGTCTATCTCTGTCTACATTTGCATTTTTTAACCTCTGTCACTCGAGTGAAGTCCTAAAAAATAAGTATGGAAACTCCTCAGGCAAGTAATGCTGGTGGGCACACACCGGCCAGCCCTTCTACCCAAGAGGATTAAACCTTCATTATTCAAAATATAGATATACATTCTGATTAGTAAATTGTGTTTTGAGTTTTTGTCCAGGTTTTTTTGTTTTTTTATAATTAAAGGACCACTATAGGCACCCAGACCACTTCAGCTTAATGAAGTGGTCTGGGTGCCTGGTCCCTCTAGGATTAACCCTTTTTTAAATAAACATAGCAGTTTCAGAGAAACTGCTATGTTTATAAATGGGTTAATCCACCCTCTAAAGCCTCTAGTGGCTGTCTCATTGACAGCCGCTAGAGGCGTTTGCGTGCTTCTCACTGTGAAAATCATAGTGAGAAGACGCCAGCGTCCATAGGAAAGCATTATGAATGCTTTCCTATGAGACAGGCTGAATACGCGCGCAGCTCCTGCTGCGCATGTGCATTCAGCCGAAGAGGAGGATCGGAGGCGGAGAGGAGGAGGAGAGCTCCCCGCCCGGCGCTGGAAAAAAGGTAAGTTTAACCCCTTTCTTTGCCATCCAGCCCGGCGGGAGGGGGTCCCTGAGGGTGGGGGCACCCTCAGGGCACTATAGTGCCAGGAAAACGAGTATGTTTTCCTGGCCCTATACTGGTCTTTTAATGTTTTAAGAATTACAAGACAAAATGCACTTGTTGCTTGCTTAACATTGCTTTGAGAGTTGACTAAAGGTCACTTACTGCTGGAAGACTATGAGAAACAAACATAATATTTGTCAAAGTAACAAAGGTGAAAGTAACAGTGAAAGTATTTGAATGCATCTTATCCAGGTTACAATCACAATTCCAAAGTTTCAAGTTTCAATGTTCACTGTTAAGATCCAGAATAAATAAACTTGGTTTACTAGACATTATTTCCTCCTCTTTTACCTAGTATTTTCCCTAGAACTGATTTTTTAAAACATACCAATTGCATGAAATAATTGTACTCCATGTACATTTAAGGCACACAAATCTAAATAGTGATCAAGATGCACTAAACGTTGTAACCATGTACATTATCTTTGTTAAAATGTCAATCAGAGATCATAGAATGTTCAAAGCACAATTTTGAGTGAATACATTTAGCTGTGGTTTTAAAAAGAAAAGTAGGATAAGTGCTAAAAAATATTAGAATTTTACATTGCACCACTGTCCTCTTAACCTCACCTTGCATAGAGTAATGGTCTGAAAGTAGCATTTATATACCTCCAGGATTTCCTGATAATAGGTCTATGCCTATTGGCTGAAAACGTAATTCCAGCCAATGACAATGATGATAGAAACATAGAATGTGACGGCAGATAAGAACCATTCGGCCCATCTAGTCTGCCCAATTTTCTAAATACTTTCATTAGTCCCTGGCCTTATCTTATATCTAGAATAGCCTTATGCCTATCCCACGCATGCTTAAACTCCTTCACTGTGTTAACCTCTACCACGTCAGCTGGAAGGCTATTCCATGCATCCACTACCCTCTCAGTAAAGTAATACTTGCTGATATTATTTTTAAACCTTTGCTCCTTTTAAATCTAGTCAATATGATGAAGGCCAACCTTTTGCACTCCAGATGTTGTGGACTACTTCACCTTTGATACGTTGCCAGTATTATTGCCTTAAGAGCATTAATGGAATCTTGCTTTTTTATTTATGGATATTTATTTTACAAATTATGAAGTCAACCACCATATACATTTAGGAAGCACACCCCAAAATAGGGTCTTAGATTGAATGTGATTATATTTAGTTTTATTTGCATGACATTATGAGCGAGGGGCATAGTGTAAATACATTTGTAGTAATGTTTTACCAATATTGGGGCTTCAATTATGTCATAATGCATTACATCAGCAAAACATTACCAAACCATTTTAAATGTAATGGAAGAGAGAAACTTGAAGAAATCAATAAAATATATAAATGTCTCCATTGATTTAATTTTATAGTTATACTATAAATATTTATTTTGGTTGTGTAAAATATCAAACATCACAAAATCTCAAAACAGGTCTCTTTTAGTTTGATATTTTTTTGTATTATATATTGTATAGATTCATTATAGCATTTTACTGCAATATTACAGGGGTCCCTTTGTCTTTATGGCAACTTTAGAGTGAGGAAAGTGATGCTTAAATCTGTCCCCTCGTCCAGCTCTACACCAAACTGCAAATCTCTGCCCACATTTGGACAAATTATGTGGTCCACAAACAAGCCCTTACTCCCCATATGAAAAATTAGGGTGAGATCTCTGGGTTGTTGAACTACTGATGTGCCGAAGTACAACATTATATAATCAACTGATTAATACATAGCACATTCCAATGGAATTCCGACAGTTAAAGTATCTTTCACCACTGAACTATAACATTTGATATTATATCATGCTTACAGGTCCAACGTCAATGATAAAGCAATCCCCACTGTTGAAGCTGGCCCAGCTAAGTGGAACTTCTCTCGCCCGGACTACTCGTCTTCCTTTAACGTGTAGAAGTCTTCTTGCACTGACGTCATTGATCACCACATGCTGGAAGCCAGATGCTATACCACCAGCCTACAATAAAAATGTCGATGCTGTACACCTTTAACTTCAAACATTTTACGGTTGTGAGTTTGTACTTGGGCAAAATCTCATACAGATAATTTGATAACATAAATTTATTGTAAAAATTTAAAAATTAATTGCTTTATCTGAAACATCAAGAAATTAACTGTTGTAGTGACTAAGCAAAATTCTTCCTGTAACTGTTTGTCATTAAATATGTTCTTCAGACTGTTTCCAATATTTGTATCATAAAATCACTCCTATGTAAACATTAACAATAATAATTTCCTGGATTTTCTTACATTTTTGGCATTGTGCCCATTGCTGTCACTGTCTGCTTTTTCTTTAACTTTTGGCAGTGTGTGTGTAAAGGGTGTTGTGTGTGTGAGGGGTGATGTATGTGTGTGAAGGGTGCTGTGTGTGTGAGGGGCAGTGTGTGTGGGTCTGAGGGGCAGTGTGTGCATGAGGTGGAACAGTAGAAAACACACCCTAATGAAAATATAAAGGGAGACCAATAGTGCAGACTAAAAAATAAATAAAAATCAAACCATGAAAAATATAAAAAATACACTCACAAACAAAGATATTAATAGGCAGGATATAGATAGTCTTCTTAAAGTGTTTTTATATTTTTTATGGTTTGATTTTTATTTATTTTTTAGTCTGCACTATTGGTCTCCCTTTATATTTTCATTAGGGTGTGTTTTCTACTGTTTCACATTTATATTGAAGACCCTGAGGAGTCTTTACACATCCTAACCAGGGGTAATTATTCTTTATTAATTTTTCCCCGTTTGATAGCCACAAGGGTTATTTTATAGTGTTTGTAATTCACTATTTTTTGTCTGTATATTGTGCATGAGGTGGGCAGTGTGTGTGAGTGGTGCAGTGCGTGAGGGGTGCAGTGTGGGTGTAAAGGGTGTTGTGTGTGTGTGAGGGGGCAGTGTGTGTGTCTGAGGTGCAGTGTGTGTGTGTGTGAAAGGAGCTGTAAATGTGTGTGTAAGTGGTGCAGTGTGTGTATTAGAGGTTATGTGTGTGTGAGAGATGCTGTGTGTGTGTGTGTGTGTGTATGTGTGTGTGAAGGGTGCAGTGTGTGTGAAGGGTGCAGTGTGTGTGAGGGGCCAGTGTGTGTGATGGGAGCAGTGTGGGGTAGTGTGTGAGGGGTGCAGGGTGTGTGAGGGGGCTGTGTGAGTGTGTTTGAAGTGGCAGTCTGTGTGTGTGTGTGTGTGTGAGGGGGCAGTGTGTGTGAGGGGCAGCCTGTGTGTTTATGAGGGGGCAGTGTGTGTGTGTGTGTGTGTGATGGGTGTAGTGTTTGTGAGGGATGTAGTGTGTGTGTGTGTGTGTGTGTCTGTGAAGGGTTCATAGGGTCTATGCTGTATGTAGGTGGGTGAGAGGTTAAAATTCTATTCAATGTCTGCCCCTGCCTTCTTCTTACCTTTTGCTAGGGAGGGGTGGGCATAATGCCAGTTTGCCAGTTTGTATACCGTGTATGTCATACCGTGTTTACACTTTCTCAAATAATTTTAATACTCACTTAACTAAATACAACAATAAATTGACATTAATTTAAATGATGTACCTGGTACTTAATTCCATTTTTAAAATAACTAAGGAAAATGTTGGACTCATGTCCTTGCAGCTCTCTGTACTGGACAGGCCGCCCTCCCAGGTATTCATCCATCTGCACAGTGTATAACACAGCTGCCGTACTCTCATCCTGGGTACATTCACTACCTGTGTCAAATAACACATAACGAAACAACAGAAATATAGCAAATTCACATAACAGAGCTCAAGACATTCATAAATTCAAATGATGTTTTAAAGGATACATTGAAATCACTAACTCCTTCCTACAGCAATACATTTTCTTGTGAAGTCATTATAATTCACATGTTTATCAAAGTTAAAACAAAATCCTAAAATGATACTCCAGGCACTTTAGGCAGATAGAATATCATGCAAACAATAATCCTTATTCCAATGTATGAAATACATTAGTTACATTTGTTACAAAAAATATAGCCATTGACCACCTTTCTATTCCTGTCTTACAACAAGGAGGAAAAACTGGGGATTGTACAAGTACTTGTACATTTTTAAATAATCTTTTTAGCATGATGAATGGTATAAGGTATACATTAACTAAGATGTGTTTAGGTGAACAGAAGCAGTCACAGCTATATGCACCGTAACTCAGGGATATTCAGCCTGTTAAAGTGGTCTCGGTGCATAGTCTACCAGACAGCCACTAGAAAGACTTCCATGTGGTTAGGCAAATTTGGACATTGAGCATCACCCAAAACCCTATAGGAAAGCATTATATAAAAAGATTTTCTCTCCAGGTAACACCTACACACAGAGCTTTCTCTCTGGAAGTAGGAGTTACAATTTATTTCTAGGAAAGCATTATATAATGCTTTACTATGGGGGAAGTCCTAATGCAAGTGAGGCTCTCGCCACATATGCACATTAGATCCCCCCTGCCAGCTGACGTCGCCAAAGGAGGAGCATAGGCATCTGCACTGGAATTAGGTAAGTGACATTTATAACCCATCTGCACCATGGAGGGAAGAGGGGGTGCGAGGGAGAGGGCCACTATAGCGAGCAACTTTGTTTTCCAGGCACTGTAGATTCACTTTATGGCTTTCAGACAAAATCATCAACTGCATGGAATGCACTAACTATAACCTTTATCTGTCTCCATAATTATATTGATTATTATGTTGACTTATTCTCATTTTCATGGCTTTTGGATGAGCCAACTAAGTCTGAAGCTTTACCAGTTAATTTCTTGTACTTTGTCTTTCTAATTTTTTTTATACTATTCTATTTCTTCATGCAAATTTCTAAATTCTTTCTATTATTACTATCATTTAAATAAGACCAATATTTTCTGCAGTGCTTAACAGTTATATAACAAGGTTATTTACAATACGTAACTGACAAAAATATTGTCAACAGACACAAGAGATGAAGTTAGAAAATTATTATTTTTATTCTCTAATAGACTAGAGAAATAAAGGAAATAGTCTAGAGCACAATGTCTGCTTTCCTTTTTATACCTGGGTCCCTAAGACAGATAGCTGTCCATCATGAACATCTTTCTTTATATTGGGAATACGGCCCCATTGACATTGTTTCTCTGCAAAAAGCTTTTTCAGACAGTATAATTTCTAAACACATTCATGGTCTGAATGATGCTAGTCTAAATACATTTATCCATATTTACAACTGGGGTTATAATAACTTCAATATGCACTTCCATTCAACAGTGTGGAGTGTGTGTATAGAAATACATTTCTGTTTGCTAACTTCTAAAACAAACACCAATTTCCTCTGAAATCCTCACATGTGTTACACAGTTAATCTTGCTTTGGAGTGAAATAGTAACGCACACATTAGACTTGTGCATTCAATTTTGGATGACTTGGGATTCATCCAAATTTTGGGTCATCAACGATTCATCAACTGCAATTCCGAATGGTCAATGGCTGAATCACAAAATAAATTAAATGACCAATGGACAAACTATTTTGTTTGCTTCATGACTCAGACTTTATTATATGCCTAGTTAAGAAAACATAGTTCAGAACAATTCTAAAAAGCCTGTGGGGGTCAGTATGGCCCCCCATATTTAGTCAAATGCTGCTGGTTCGGACATGTCTAAAAACCAGTGAACAACCAGCAGCTGCTCACTGTTATTGAAAACTAACAACTGGGCAACTATTGCTGCCTGGTCTGTAATAAAATATTGGTGGGGATTTGGCACAGGTATCCTTTTAAGAGTCTGATTGGGCATTGGTCGGGGCTTTAAAATTAAATAATGGCTAGTGGCTCTAGTAAATACAAAAATGGAGGGACATCCTAATGTTTGATTATTAAATGAGGAAAATATACTGCCTCTCCCAACAATGAGCTGTGGGTTGGGGCTATAAATGGAATCCATCGGGGAACACAGTGTTAATAATTAGTGGTAGGTGGGAGCTATTAATGAATGCACAGTGACCTGTTCACCCCACATTATTTGATTTTAAGTTCTCACCCAGTTCACATGGGAGGGGGCAATAGCTGCCAGTCTCCCGTTTTTATGCTGTTAGTAGATATGCCCCCACCCATGGCATGGCAGATGGGGCATACGGCATAATTTATTTTAAGTTTCAGGTTTTCTGATTTTGCATAGACAAAGCGATCCGGGCAAACTGAAACAGAACATAAGCTAAATTTGGTTCACCCGAATCAAAACTAATTTTCTGAATGAAACTTTATTTGTTGTCGTGCACAAGTATGCACAATAGAGGAATACATTTTTCACTATAATTTTCAGGAAGACTCTTTCCTGAAATGTTCTTATTTTGTATTATAATAAAATGATAAAGAGTTCCTTCAATAGAAGCACGGTCTGTTTGAGTCAAAGAGGAGAAAAATAAATATTTATTATCATTCATTATTATCATCATTAATATCATCAACTCTTTTTATCATCACTGGTGTTAGTAATATATTACCAAAGACATCCTATTTTGCTATAATTCTGTTCATGATGTCATCCATCAAATTATTTATGTCATTATCATATCATCCTGATCTTAAACAATAACAAATTGCTCTGAGAACAAGCCTGGCTGCTAGTAAATACTCAGTGCCATAAATTCTTCTTGAAACAGTTTAGTATGTTATGGAAAAAAAATCATTTTGGATCTAAAAGCTATCTGTTGTAGTATATTACCACATATAACTGTCTGTTGCACTGGGCAGAAACACATGAGCCGAAGTAAAGCAAAATCACATATAGGTATGTGCTGATAAAGATCATAAGTGAGAGTAAGTAGACAACAAATGTAACAATGGGCATTGCATGGATTGCACAGTCTTCCCCATGCACACTACACTTAGTCACACTAAGTATTTTATTTCTGATGCCATCATGGTAGTGATTTAGAGAGGTACAGTCTACAATGAGACATGCCAAAAATTAATTTATTTGGGCAAAGATTAATGAGCATGGGCATTGATTCAATCAAGAATGGCATCATCGATGTGGAAACCTATGTTTTATTAAATACATCCCTATCTATACTCTATTAAAAGTACTGAGGAACATTTCCTCGACATGTTTGCTCAACCCTCAGTTTAAAGCTAATTGATTTATTATTAGTGATACACTGATCATTTACAACATTAAAACCATCTGCCATAATATGAGGTTTCCCTCGTGCTGACAAAACAGCTCTGATGCATCAAGGCATAGACTCCATATGACCTCTAAAAGTGTCATGTGGTATCTGGCACCAAGACATTAGCAGCAGATCCTCTATGGCCTGCAAGTTGTGAGGTGGGGCCACCATGTATTGGTTTTGTTGTTCTATCACATCCCACAAATGTTCAATTGGAGTGAGATCTGTGGAATTTGGAGACCAAGGCAACACCTTGAACTCTATGTCATGTTCCTCAAGCCATTCCTGAGCAATTTTTGCAGTGTGGCATTATCTTGCTGAAAGAGGCTACTGCCATCAGGGAACACCATTGCCATAAATGGGTGTATGTGGTCTTCACCAATCTCTAGGTAGATGATACATGTCAAAGTAACATCTGCATGAATGCCAGGACTCAAGGTTTCCCTGCTGAACCTTGCCCAGTGCATAACACTGGCTCTGCTGACCTGCCTTCTTTCCATAGTACATCCGACTGCCATCTCTTCCCTAGGTAAATGCACCCAGCCATCCCCCTGATCTAAAAGAAAACATAATTCATAAGACCAGTCAACCTTCATCCATTGCTCCATGGTCCAGTTGTAATGCTCATTTCCCCATTGAAGACACTTTTGGCAGTGGGGCAGTGGACAGAAGTCATGCACTCTGAACTGTCAGTGACTACCCAACTTTAGAAACTGCAAATGACATGCACTGTGTGTTGTGGCTGATCAGTGTAAATGAACATTAACATCACTACAACATGGACAAGTGTATGATACCAATATCCTTGCATATTATGTACATAACTATTTAATAGAGACCAAGCATGGAGACTAGTGGAGGGATTTTGGTAAGACTCCCCCCCACCAGTTTTTATGTGGGGGAAAACATGTCTGCAATAGTTTAGAAACACTAAGATTCTTTTTCTAGAGGAGAGGGTGGTAAGCCACAAAAATATGGGAAAAATAGTGTCTATTTAATTCTGTAATAGGTTTCAGTTCTGCAGTTCCCCTTCCCCTCATTGGTAGCTGTTTGGAGAAATTGTCCTGAGAGCATCTAGACATGTGAAAAAATGGAGGTGGTTTGAAATCTGCCCTGATTCAGCAGATTTTGCATGTCTAGTGTCCTTTAAGAAGGAATTACAGAAATGTCCATTGAGTTGCCGTTCTAGCAGCAGAGCTAGCAGTCCATGAGTGGATGCGTGCTATTGGCCTCTCTATTCAGGGGTCATCATTGGGTTATAGCATCAAGAAGTAGGGTTAAAGTTACAGGAGAGAGTAGCAAGATGGCATATTGGAAGCACCACACTGAGAGCACAACAATAGCAGCAGCAGCAGTAGTTATTTTCTCTCTCCCAAAAGCCATTGTGACTGCCTGAGGGCTGATTAAGAAAGGAAATTTACTCAAATATATAATTCACATATAAAGCAAGGAAAGACAAGGGGGGACACGGTGCTACCTGTCACTAATAGTTTTAATAACACCATCATCTTCTTTAAAGTTCTCAGTGACTCTACAGGGGGGACACTCATGCTGTAGCTAATTAAAAAGTTGTGAAGCTTCACAGTGCAGGACTGGGGCTGTGACTCTGAGGACTGATCATATTTTGATTTCAGTCGGTTTTAATCTGTAATGATTGGTGATTCTGTTAATCATGTCAGATACTTCTTGGCTCCATATTACTACCTCAGATTATATTACCAGCTGCAACGGTAATGAGGAGTCTATAAGTGTCCTGCTACTTTAACTCTGTGTACACTGTGTGTTGAGAGCTAATAGTAAGTTAGAAGTAGCTGAAATGGTTGGTCTACCAGTATATTGATGCTTTAACCATATGCACACTGTGTGTTGAGAGCTAATGGAATATTTGAAAAAACTCCAGTCTTTAGTCCAGGAAAGGTGTTAATAAAAAAACATATTGTAGTTTTGAACTTTGGTATTTGTATATCTAATTTGTATATCGCTTATCTAAAGTTTAGATGATTTAGAGTCCTTATTCAAATCTTTCATGCTAGTAATTCTTATCCCACATAGTATTCCATATCGACACCTTGATCTTTTGACACTTTGCTTATCTGGATTTAAAAATACTTTGCATACATGATAGACTTTCGAACTCTTTCAATAATCTACTTTTACTCCAGATAACTTGTATGAGGCTAGTTTTATAGAGCATCTGATAATCTACAATCTCAGTTTCTTCCGTTAAAGGACCATTATAGGCACCCAGACCACTTCAGCTCAATGAAGTGGTCTGGGTGCCAAGTCCCCCTAGGTTTAAACCTGCACCTGAAAACATAGCAGTTTCAGAGAAACTGCTATGTTTACATTGCAGGGTTAATCCAGCCTCTAGTGGCGGTCTCCCTGACAGCTGCTAGAGGCTAATTCCAAGATTCTCAGTGTGAAAATCGCATTGAACTCACGCAGCATGAGTTCAGATCCCAACACGAATGCATTGTGTAATGATTTCCTATGGGAGGTTTGAATGTGCACGCGGCTCTGGCCGCGCATGCGCATTCGGCTCTACTCGGGACCTGGCGTCGGCAGGGGGAGGAGAGGTCACTAGCGCCGAGGGACCCCGGTGCTGGATTAAGGTAAGTGGCTGAAGGAGTTTTAACCCCTTCAGCCCAGCGGGAGGGGGGACTACCTAATAACCCTATATATATAGTGCTCCTTTGCTCCTAATAACCTAAAAACCCTATATATATATATATATATATAGTGCTCCTTTAAGGAAAATGCATGCGCTTGACATATCAAGCAAATAATTGTGATCATAAGAAGTGATTGTTGCTCAGGTCAGAGAAGGTGCAGTTATGAATTCTGACACAAACAGCTGCAAACCATAGAGAAGATACTGTAAACACAGTGGGGTAGATTAATCAAAGCGTTCTGAAAAGTGTATTATTTTTTGTCTCTAATCTGTTCCTATTTGTTAAATTGTTCTCAAAAGTAGTCTAAAAAGTTTCAGATTTTCTCTGCAAATATTCCACAATTTTTTTTTTTTTACATATACATTTCAGAAAAGACCACCAAATTTAAAGCAAAAGGAAAAAAAAAATGAAATGAAACATGTTTCTAGAGGAAAAATATGATGGAAAGATTGATACATTTGTTGTGTCACTGAAAATAACATACTTTACTAAATGCAAACCAGTGTGAGATACACACACGATTAATGGAGACAGGAAAACACAGACAGACAGTAACATGATACACACAATGAAAGACAGAGAGAAAAGAAGTGAGATGGAGACCCACACAACATGAAATAGAAAGAGAGAAGGATAGACATGCAGATATAAAAAAAAAAACAGATGGAGAAATAAAACAATACACACATATAAATAAAGAGCTCTGAATAAGATGAACGAGAAGCATACAAATAAACAGAAAAAGAAGGATAGGGAGTATGAGAGAGAGATCCATGTGAAGAGTTATTCATTAAAGTGAGAATCAAAGTAAACTTTAAATTTAAATAACCACTCCAGACACCTAAAGCACTTTAGCTTGCTGAAGTGCTTTATGTGTGAAGAGTGTGTTGGCTCTCGTATAAATTAAACTAGTTACAACCCCTTGCTGTCAATCAAACGACATGTCCTGTTACTTCCTGGATTGTTTAGCTCAGTGGAGCTAAACTCGAGAGGAAGGCAGGCAACTGCATTGCAAAGGCTTTTCATTGAGCTGCAAGTGTTAAAGGGATTATCGAGCTGCAAATGATAAATATGCCATGTTGGTAGGGAATGTGATTTACTCTTAAAATAACAGTTTACTTAAGGCACCATAACTTTATCTAAATTAAGTTGTTATGGTGACAGGAGGCACCTTGCGCAATCTTACCCCAAGGTGTTAAAAGGTCTGAGAACGGATTAACCTCAAAATTACCTCCAGTGCTGATCTCAGCCCCCCCAAAAAACAGAAATTTCAGAAGCTGGATGCCGCCTGGGGAGGAGCAGAGATCAGCGGTGGAGGCAACTTCAGGTTAAACCATTCAAGAACTATTTAACCACTTGAGATAACAGTGCACCCGGGGGCCTCCTGGCACCATAACAACTTAATTTTGATTACGTTGTTATGGTGTTTGGAGTTTTTCTTTGAGGTGGTTTATATAGCACATTTTACATGTTTTGTTTAATAGATGCCATTTGTGCTTTAAACTATATATGTTTATGTCATGTAGCAGCAACCAATGTATCACTAAGTCTTATCAAGTTTTATCAAGCAAAGACATTAATGTGTATTTTTTTATTTTGTTTTACATTTAATTTAATTAAATTTTTTGTCATTGATTTTTAAGTTAAGTAAATGTGCAGTAAATTATCTAGCAGTCTGAAAGTGTATACCACACTCTCACCATTTTTCATAAAACATCCAGTTTCTAGTTTTTTCATCTCATCGTCATTTGACCAGGGAAAACCTTTAAAAATACATTACCCACAATCCAAATATGGGACTATCTCCATAAAAGATTTGAGAATATTACGAAATTCTCTCCATGGGCCCCGATAACAACGCTCCACTCCATCTCCCCATGGCTATCGTTACATAAATGGAAAGACAAGTGCATCACACACATCACCGATATCTATCAAAATGGAACCGTGTTGTCCTTCCCTGACATTCAACTCAAATATGCCTTACCATCTAACTACATATTCCCATACCTCCAACTCAAAAGCATAATCAACGATAGGGTCCACACCCAGACTCAACATACTCCCGCTCCTAACCCAGACCTTATAGCTATATACAATAGGTGCCGGAACACACCAATCAAAGCCAAAGCTTTATCCCTTGGATATGCTGCCTTAGGACAACACCCCCTACTAATGAATTTCGCTTTTACAATACAATGGCATAAAGAAGGACTCCCACAGCTCAATAATGAGCAGTGGCTACAGTCACTTGGGGCACTCAAAGGAGTGACTTCTTGTTACTCACACATAGAGGCACATAAGAAACTTGTATATCGGTGGTACCTCACACCCCACAAACTACATAAAATTTACCCAGCAACACCCAACACGTGCTGGCGATGCTTTCAAGAGGTAGGGACGATGAAGCATGTCTGGTGGGATTGCCCAAACATTATTCCACTATGGACTGAAGTCCAAAGACTGGGCAATTCTCTAGGACTTATGAAGGGAACTCTAACTCCCACCATGAGTCTGTTGTTTCTGATGCCTGCTCAAATTCCTGCACAGGACAAACAACTACTGATTATGATGGCACTTGCTGCGCACAATCTTATTGCATGCAACTGGAAACAACAGACTTGCCCGACACTACAGCAACTACTCCACAAGACACAACAGTATCTGAGACATGAAATGATGATCACTACGACACCCAGACGCAGAGATGTCACACACAATAATTGGCAAAAATGGAGTAAATACATAACTGATAGTACGCACGCAGGGTAAATTGCCAGACACACATAGGCAGCCTTACAAAAGAGGACGGGCTCAAACACGACATGACATAAGAGACACGACTGACTAAAACTGGCTGGATACACAGGTGTATGTATTAACGAAAGCACAAACGTAATGTTTGTAACAAAGTGTATGTATCTGAATACTGATAACTATTACACTGTACCTATCTACTATATGCTTGTGGATACACCCCCCCCCCCCTTTTTCCTTTCTGTACCCCCCACATGGTTGTTTGGAAAACTCAATAAAATACGAATATGAAAAAAAAAAAAAAAATACATTACAATTCACCCACATTCTAAATAAAGCCCCGTTACATTTGCTAACTAATATTCTAACTGTCTCTGATAGTCTACACGTATCATGAAATATTAAAACGTACCAAGCCAGAAATGTAGATTGAACAGTTTGTAGAGAACCCGATCTATGGTATTCAGTATTACGTAGGCATCACCCACATAGAAGCTACCATGTAGCTCCTTAGGAACTTGTGCTAGGTCCATCTTCTCGATTCTCCAAATCTGAGTTCCAGCTTGCAGTCCAGCTTTTGCAAATTCCTTGTGTTGAAGAACCATGATTTCTTCTCAGTAGATTGAAATGTCAGTGATTATTGAAAAAAACAAACCAAATTTACAGCAAGTGAAAGAAACGTTTGAGTATGTACTGATTGCTTTCATCAGTTGTACTGATAATGCTGCCTTTGTGCTACAAACCTTTATAATGGCTGAGGTGTATCCTCCTCCTTTAAAAACACTTTAACTACTTAGGTATGCAATACAAAGGGAAACAAATTTCAGTTGTAAGCAATAAGGAAGCGTCTTGCCGTGTGATACGCTGATATGCAAATTCATAAAAAAATATTTTGTCTGTCCAAGATGAATGTATGATACGTATATGCAAAAATTATTGGTAATAAAAAAATTATGCTTTAATGAGTACTTTCCAACCACGAAGTTCTAATGGTAGACTATGCCATTTGTTGATCTCAGAATGTTTTATTCCAAAATAGAACGTAACCATTCAGTATCAATAGGGTTTATAGAGCTGTGGATGATAAAGGGGCCGAATATTCCATGCTGGTACGGAGATGACCAGATAAAGATGACTGCTAAAGATGACATACTCTTAAGGTATTACCGGTAAATACTGGATTGTATAGCACATTATATGTTTGTTTAATACATGCCATTGTGCTTTAAACTATGTTTATTTTGATTTGTTTTCTTATGAAATCAGTCATGTATTTAATATGAGGGTAAAAGGTTTGGGAAATGCAAATTATGAGACTGCACCATGGGAATTGTTTGCTCATTTTAGCTCAGTCAATGGCCTGGTTCCTTTTTTACCAGCACAGAGTCAAAGATGTGTGTAGGTTTCTGCAATATGTTTACCATGGTGTTTTGTGGCAGAACTCATTTGTCTAATAAAAAAAAAAAGGAAAAAAAATAAAGTTTTAGGACCCCCTTAAACTCAAAATAGAAAAGAGACATTAAAGCCAGACCACAAAAACAAGGACTTAAAGAAACACGCTAAGTTTCATACAGCATAGCATAATGATGATTTTGTGATTTTAATACTGTGAAGTGGTTCTTGCAATCTAACCTTTAAATTTGCTATCTACTTTCAAAGTCCTTATCGCCCAAACTCCAACCCCACCAAATTGTAAGAATATTTTGATTTATCCTCCTTGGTGTAATTCTGCAGCCTCCTCCTCATCCCGTTTGTGTCTCTTTAAACACCCCCTTATCCTCTTGTGTGTCTCTTAACTCACCCTTACCCTCCTTTAGTGTATCTAAACCCCCTTTAAACCTTTGTGTGACTCTTATTCTCCTACCCCCCACTCCGCTAGTGTTGGCTGTGACAAAACTTGAAGGTTGAAGCTCTGCCTTATGCCAAGTATTGTCATCTTCAAATTTGACCATAAAACAAGTATTTGATGTATATGTTTTAATTGTTGGGATGTAAATTAAATTTCACTGCAATCAAAATGAAAATGTAATTATGATTATGACCACTAAGACAGATGCATGGTCCAGATGTTTGGGGTGTTCAAACAGTCTGCACTATGGGAATGATGCTGAATTTAGTTCAGTCAATGGCCTGGTTCCTTTATATAAGCATATGGAGTCAATGGTGTGTGAGTATATTTCTGTGATATGTACCATATATAACATTTAGTGTATTGTGCTACAAACCATGTATTCTTCAATCGGTTTTATATTATTGACTACTAAAATGGAAAATTACAAACAAAATTTCTAGGGCCTCAAAAATAAAAAAGAGAAGATAAATATCTGGTAAAACCAGAAAAAACAGTAAAATCAGTATGTAAAGATCCAAACAATAATCTCCTAATATCAAATGCATACACCAGAAAAAAAACGCTATAATAACAAATAGATCTGAGGACACACGAAGCACCCTACATGCCAAGTAGAAACCAAGCACCATACATGCCGAGTAGAAAATAAGCGCCATACACACTGAGTACACACTAAGCACCATACATGCCGAGTAGAAACTAAGCACCATACACACTGAGTACACACTAAGCACCATACACACCGCGTACGCACTAAACACCATGCACACAGCAGGGGTTAACCTTAGCATACCCAAACATAACAACATTTAAGAAATACACATAATAAGTACAGTAAAATAATAAGCCTACACCTAACCCTAGCCCTACCCCTAACCTTAACCCTCGTAGGGTTAGGGGTAGGGTTATGGGAAGGGGTAGGATTAGGATTAGGTTTAGGGTTATGGTAAGAGTTAGGGGTAGAGATAGGGTTAGGGATAGTGTTAGGGTTAGGGGTAAGGTTAAGGGTAGGGTTAAGGTTAGGGTTAAGGTTAGGGGTAGGGTTAGGGTTAGGGGTAGGGTTAGTGTATGGTTACAAGTAAGATTAGGGGTAGGGTTAGAGGTAGAGTTAGAGGTAAGGTTAGGGGGAGGGAGAGGGTTAGGGTAGGGTTAGGGGTAGGGATTCTGAAGTTCCGTAGTGCCGATGTCCCGAATTGCCGAATTCCCGAATTGCAGAAGCCTCGAATTTCGGAAGTGCCGAACTGAACCGAAGTGCCGAATTGCCAAATATCCGAAGTGCCGAATTGCTGAAGTGCCAAATTGCCGAAGTGTCAAACAGAAACGAAGTGCCGAAATGTCAAATTGTCGAAGTCCCAAATCGACGAAGTCCCAAATTTCGGAAGTGCCAAACCGAATCAATTTTTTTGCCAATGCACATCCCTAGTAGATTTTGTATTTTCACTGGAGTCCATGATTTTTGGAATCTGCTCCCTGACGGTACCCTGTCTTTAAGCCCTGAAAGGAAGGATGACTGCCAGCGCCATTCATGCATTCATGTTTAAATCTGCACAAATTCTGCCATTTACATTGCGTCTCGTTAAATAACCAACAAATTCCCTGAGGACACAGCCACATTAACCTGACCCTGCGATCTCACTTGACTCTGTGGGAATCTGCTTGGTAGCATAATACTCACCTAAGTGCCCACGTCTTTCATACCCCAACACAAATTCTTATGGACAGACAGTTTTCGACAAAATATTTCATCATAATTGTACCAAGACAAAAAAAAAGCCACTAGCCTTATCAGGATGATGTTCACAATAAACACTAGCAAAAATACAAAACGCTTGTAACCAGTTGTTAAACGACCAAGTTACTGGGTGTTTCTTGTCATCCTCTCTTTCTTGTTTTAACAAGAAATCCTTAAACGCTGGTAACAAAGAAAGAATATCTAAATATTCTTCATTCCATATCTTTTCTTTTACTGAATTTGCTAAATAAAAACCAAACGGAGAAGCTTTGCAAGCCAAAGCCTCTTTTCAGCAAGCTTTATGAAAAGGTGTGCTATTCCTGACAGAACAACTAACTGAGCTATTACTAAGCATAGGTGACTGTAACAGTTTCTCAAAATCCTCCTGAACCGAGGCTAAAGTCAGACTACTCGACTTACCCTGTAAAGCCTGAAGTAACACGCCCAACTCCTCTCCTAGCTTAGCCTGCTGAGAAACCCCAGGAAAGGACTCACCAGCAGACTTATCCGCTCCTTCCAAAGGCCTGTCAAATGAGGTACCGGCTTGCTCACTATCATCAATAACCGGCCCTTGCCCAATACCAGCAGGCTGACTGAACTTATTTCTCTTCCCCGCAATCCTCGTCTTCTTGCTTCCTCCATTAGGTGGAGGGGAATAAATCACTCTTGATTTAGTCACTCTCTTCTTTCTTCCTTGAAGCATACTTCTATCACTCAGGCATATGGACATTCCTTGCCCCTCCTCAGAGTCTTCCCCTTTTGCAACCTCCTCCACATCATGTTCCAAAATGTACATTAATGCTCATTCCTGTGGGCGTGAATCAACTGGGGCTGTCAAAAGGCATTGCTTGAACCATTCAGCACCACCACTGCTGGAAGCCCTCCTTTTCATTTCTTCAAGTAAGTGTTCCATAGCTGCACTACTTGATAACAGACTAAAACTAAACTAAACTGCTATTTTGAATACTAATTTACTTCAGCTGTTTTGGCGCCAGCTGCTACCTCAGGACGCCTTATATATTGCAGTCTCCCACCTTACAGTGCCCTCGCGGACAAGAGCTCCAATCAGAACACTGTCCGCGCAGACCTCTGCACTATCTGTCCATGAGGGCATCGGACAGACCATGCCGATGCCCATGCGACGTGTCAGCAGTGCGCGCACATTAACCCTTCTACTGCTAAACCCGCCGCACACATGTGTACACGGTCGATTGACCAGATACATGCCGAGTAGACACTAAACACCATACACACCGAGTACACACTAGGCACCACACACACCGAGTACACACTGAGCACCATAACCAGGATAGCATACTGTAGTGGATTTGATGCTGTGAAGTGGTTCTTGCAATCTGACCTTTAAATTATACATTGCCATAATACAGACCAGGACCACCGGGCTCATTACAAGCCCGGCGGTCCTGTTGGGGGCTGGAAGAGAGCTGTAACTTACCTTTCTTGCAGCTCCTGTCAGCTCCCTTCTCCTGCGCTCCGGTCCTCTCCCCTGTTACTGTGGCAATGCTCCGCACGGCACTCAGACCGCGAGACTTACAGTGGAGCTGACACGGGAGCTGACCAGAGCGCAGGAGAAGGGAGCTGACAGGAGCTGCAGGAAAGGTAAGTTACAGCTCGCTGCCAGCCCCCCTCCTGCATAGTACACACCACTGGACCACCAGGGAATGAGAGCCCCCCGGCCATGTATCAAGCAGGGAGTGGGGCCGAAAATAAATAAATACAAATTTAAATAATATTAAAATAAAATAAAAAATATTAATAATATAAAAAAATATATATTAAAATAATAATTAAAAAATAAATAAAAATGCCCACCCCCCCCACCAAGGCTCTGCATCACATACACAAACACACTCTGCATCACATACACACACTTCATTCATACACACACACACTGCATTCATACACACTGCATTCATAAACACACTGCATTCATACACACACACACACACTGCATTCATTATATACACACACTGTAAATAAATATTCAATTAATATAATTT